ATTCTATCTGTATAATAACGCATATCATACTGGACGAGATCCCAACAGCAACAGGGACTGTTGCTCAGGCTATAGTCAGCTTAACCCGCGCACCGACGGGGGTCTGCGCCAACTTAGTACCGACGGGGGGGGGGGGCGGATGACCGCCCCCCCCTGAGATCTCGAGAACGAAGCAAGATAGCGACAAGCGGTAAACGGCATCGGATACGCACGGTCAAGATCTACAATTTTTACTAAGGTCATTTTCAGGTCAGGTCAAAGATGACGTCACAGGGGTCGAAAAAGTCAAAATGGCGGCGCTGAATATGGAGAGAGTTTTTCTCGAATAACTTTCGAATTAGTCAAGATAGGAACAAACTAAGGGCATCATCGTGATCCTCTCGTCAATCCGCATCGAATGATATACATGTTGACCTCGAAAGGTCAAGGTCAAAGGTTGACCTCAGGTCACGTGACCTCGAGGTCATCATGTATATCATTCGATGCGTCTTGACGAGCTGAACACAATGAGACCATCCACGCGTCTGTATCTTGTTCCTGTACGGAGTTATTGGCCAAAAACCTTTGGTGACCTTTGATGACGTCACATGACCTCACAGCTGCCCAACAGCAAAACAGACCTCAAAGTAGTGAAGGTTGATCGTATATGAAGTCATGTATGGTATATGGGGCCATTCCGACCCGTTTTAGTGGTAAAAACAGGGAGTTGATTTTTCCCCCATTGACTTATAATGAGGAGGTCGCGAAATTGACCTGACCTTAGGTCACCGATATCAAAATTCCGAGATATACAAATTGTAGCTACTAATGACCTAATAACATCCTGCGACTTTCAAAGGCCTCCGACATCTACTGTAGCTCTGGCACGGTGACGAAGTTGCAAAAAAGTGACTTGAGGTTGGGTCATTCAAAGTGACCTGGTGACCTGACCTTAAAAGGTAGGAGGTTCAAACTTGCACACCATGTGTAAAATTGATGAGGTTATAGTCATACCAAATTTCGCGGCGCTACGCGCCGCGGTTTTCCCGCTATTAGCGAAAAACCTCAGGGGGGGGCGGATATCCGCCCCCCCCGTCGGTGCGCGGGTTAAGCGATACCTATCAGCACCCTAAAATTTCCATCGGACCTAGCCACCACCATTTGGACTGCAAGTAACTCCCCGCAGCCTTAACGTTGAAACGTTATGCTTTGCATTAGCTGTTTGAAGACTCCGCTTTAGTTGAATAATAATGGTGTTGTATTTGGTTGAATATGAATAGCGTTCGGCCAGTTCTTCACCAATATTCACCTATCTCCAGTATAGGTCACCAACAGTGTAGGTAATCAGTAGGTTGAATTGTAACTAGTTAAATGCACGTCACATTGAACGCTGCATTGAAACACTGAGAGCCGTTCCGAAGACAGTTCCTCCGTCGAACCTTTTAGAAGCATCATGCCGCTGCAGGACAGGTCTAAAAAGCGTCTCCGCCGCTCCGTCGTTGAACTATTTCAGAGTCTCCAATACCTACTGGACCTCACCATTCCAGAGAATGTCTCCGCTGAAGAACTATTCCAGAGACTCTTTCCTGCTGAATAATTCCAGTGTCTTTGGTGCTGAGACTTTTCAAAAACTCTTCGCTGCTGAGTCACTCCAGAGAGTGTCTCCGCTGCTTAGCCATTCCAGAGTGTCTCCGCTGTGGATCCATTCCAGAGAGCGTCTCCGCTGCTGAGCCATTTCAAAGACTCTTCGGTGAGCTGAGAGATTCCAGAGAATGTCTCCGCTGCCGAGCCATTTCCGAGTGTCCCCGCAGCGGAACCACCCCAGATACTGTCTATCTGTGCTGCTAAGCCATTCCAGGGTGTCTCCGCTGCTGAGCCATTCCAAGGTGTCTCCGCTGCTTAGCCATTTCAGAGAATGTCTCCACTGCTGAGGCATTTCAGAGTGTCTCCGCTGCCGAGCACAGCCGTACAGGGCGGCGGATATCCGTCCCGGACAGCCGAGTCCTCGGAAATCGATGGCAACTTCACGGCGCAACTGGAGCCGACACAGGCCAGAGTCGGAGTCGGAGCTGCGACCGCAATCGGACAGTGACGGTCGAGTCATATAAGTTATATTCGATGCAATTTAAACAGGGAACTATTTGCCAGATGGTTGTAAACAAGCATAAATAAACAAAGATCGCATAGTACTAGAAAAATATGCTTCAACTGAGGCTATGTTTGTGCTAGATGACAAACACGTCACACACGGTATGAGTCCGCGTGGCGTTGGAGCATTTATCGATGTCTAACTGGTAATCATCATCGGGCCTGCGTGACCGGCACAAAGAACACCGGAACGAAGCCGGGTCGCTGCGTGTTATGTTTGGACAGACAAACACCGGCGCGCTACTGTCTAAATGTCCGCGGTCAGGACCGACACAAATTGCCCACGTCGCTGGCGTGTCGTGTCGAGTCGGCCGCCGCGCGGCGCGTCCACGGCTGCTTTGTGACGGACGACGGCGCGACAGGTTACAATGGCTGGACAGGAAATGTCAGGTCTTAAAGCTCCGGGGCGCTCTTTATCCGCGCATTTGCAAAACGGCGCGACAAGCAAATAGCGAACAAAAATGCACCTCGTACCTAAAACGGCCACTGTGCCATCAAAGACATGCAAAACAATTTGTAAGAGTGAAGCTGCGAGGAATTTCATTCTTTTGGGTTTGAATGCACCAGGTAATGCCACATGTCGATTGATATTAGTTTGTTGAATTTTTCAGAGAGAAATTGGTAACATACCATGAGCGTTACTCAGAATTCCACAAAAATATGGAATTGTGATTTATGTAATAATTAATAAATCTGATAAAACGGACAAGTAATATTGTGCCAACGATTGACAATATACCTAACAGCAATGTTTTGTCCTGCTTAATTCCTTTGACGTGAACACGTCGTCCTGCATTGCCAGACGGATCGTGTTAAATTCACTTCACGGAGCAGCTCGGAGCTGGGTGGTTTTCTTCTGTCGCCATCGGCAGCTCGGAAGCTTTCTCCTGTAGTCGTCCCATTCTGCATTCAGAGAGAGGCTCTTTTGGCGACGATTCAGTTTCGAGGCGGCCACTCTAAGCCGTACCTTCCCTGCGCCTATTATCGCCTGTTCTGGCCCGCGCGAGTGGGCAGGCTTACTGGCGGACGGGCCGGCGCCAACGTCCCTGCAGGGGTGTCGTGCATAGAAAGCACCCTGTCGGGCCGGCCGGGGTCCGGTCCAACGTCCGCATCACAAACAGGACGACAAGAGAGCGGAGAGAAGAGAGGAGAGAGAGAGAAAGAGAGGGAAAGAGAGATCGCTCCTCCAGCCCGTCACCGCTGCCATCTCGATTGGCTTTGTTTCAAAACGACGAGCCAACTTTGGAGAGAACGGCCGCCCAGACTGCCACTGAGGAAATGACCCGTCGGACGGCCGGCGGCGGCCCTGCAGACCGGTGGATGGAGGAATAGAGGCAGACCCGCGCCGCCGACAGGAGCAGCTGATCGTGACTAAGGCTACCTTTGCATTTCTCTCTGTAGTTAGGTGCTTGGAACCCCAAAATATGATTATGATTTCATTGAAAATGGCGATAGATTGAAGCTCGAGCCGCACTAAAAGGTAATATAACGATTAAAAAATGTGTTAAAATATTTTATTAGAATACGTCAAAGAAAGAAAATTTTCTCATAAGAAAATGAAACAATTTGCAAACAAAATACTTTGATTATCGCTTACAGCCAATCATAAGCACCACGTGTCTTATCCAAAACGGCTTTGTGCGACCCATTTGTAAAATAACAGTTCGAGATGAAATCAGCTGCAATAGTTTCACACTACATCAGAGGCATGCGACGCTGTCATCTATTACATCGTATTAAATCGATATCATCGATTGGCTTAATTTCATCTTCAATCAGCAATAATGAATTCATAAATCTGATCAGCAATCCAATCATCATTGGACATCAATCATCGGACATTATAAGCACAGATGGAGCACAGCAAAGTCACAATTTACCTGGACCGTCGGCGACATTGCGTGGACACTCCACCCTTTTATGGAGACAAAGCCACAGAGGTCATAGCATGCACGCAAAGCACCATTCCCGCCCAACCCGTGCAGCATGACAGCTGGGCAGCGTGGTCCAAACAGCGCACAATAGTTACCCCTGAGGTACCTGGTTTGCCGTGATTGTTCCCAAAAGGATTAATCGCATTTCTCGATATCGGATATTGGTCGTAAGTAGATTGTGGTTGAGCCTTGTTCAGCGATCATCGCTCAAACGTAAAGATTGGTTTGCTCCTGTTTGCTTACAATTTTCTGGCATGCCGACGTTATCACTTTTGTGCACAACTTGTCACGAAAAAAGTGCCGGCTTAATCACGTTTAATGATATCACAGCTATCGGCGCAGGTGGATATTTCATTTATTTACAAAAGGCTTTGCAATTTCGCTTTACACAAAATAACATATTCAATATTGATATCAAATATCAAAAGCTAGTTTTTTTAAGAAAGACCGTATCTGCAGTGTTTTCCCATTAACTCGTTGTGTACAAAGACGTGATTGTTCCTTTGAGACTCAAACCGCTGCCCCCCCCCCCCCTCTCCCGTGGTATCGAGCCAGTTCAGAGGTATTGCGGCTCTCCTTGAGAGCTTTCCTCTCGATCTGTGGTATCGTGACTTCGCGAACCGTGTCACGAACAGCGGCATCACGATCCTGGCACGGCCTTGAGCTCCGCCAGGGGATGTATTTTCTGTCCAAGTAACACAAGGCCATCGATGCGTGCGGTGAATGGTAAAATGATCGGCACGCGAGCCGCAGTTTTTGCGCCCTCCTTCCCTCTCCTCCCCTCTCCTCCTCTTCCCTCCACTATTGATAGTGGTGACCGTTTTTTGGCCACGGTATACACCCAATTCTCCCAAATTTTCCCCTAAATTCCGCCTTCCCCACATGTCACGTCCACCCCAGAGCAGACGTCGACCTTTAGGGGGCGCACGTCCGTCCTACCTCCGTAGTTGGGACGGAGGCGCTTATCGTAGCCTTGCTGCCAGTTGTCCAAGATGGCCGATATGTTGACGTCCTCCTTGTTGACCCTGAAATAGTGGAACAGGTTAGTGATATCAGATCGGCCGAACGTCCGAGACAGCAGAGAGCTGACAAATTTTTGAAGCGGCGCAGCGAATATACAAAGACACACAGGTGCGTTTTGGAGCATATTCGTTGAAGGAATTAAAGTTGTCCCCGTGCTCTTCTATCATTATCACAGATTTGCAATGTGGATTAGACACACAATAGATTGCACATTGCACACGCCACGACCTATACACAATGCACATGAAGTCCAGTTAACAGAAAACAAGTGTTTCATACATTGTCCACGCAATGAACTGAATCCAAAGTCGCTTTTAGTGACTATCCATTCATTGTCACATCTGGACACCCCATATCTTTTTAAACAACTTTGGTCTGGTCAAATCTCGGCCGCTGTTCAAACGCTAGCTGTCGCCGGCTGTGACCGCCGGCGCCCCGGTGTCCACTCTGTGTGGCCAGCTGACATTCTGTACAGCGCTCGGCGGGCCTGTCGGGTCACAGCTGGTCCCTGGTGCCGAGTTCCCACAGTCCTGGCACCACGCGACCGCCACTGTCGCCGCCGGCTGGCCACTGGACGCCACTGCCGGGACAGCACTTACAGAGGGCTGGTCACCGTGTACCTCCGGAAGGACAGTTCGACTGGGAACTTATGTGAGCCGTCAACGGACGACGCAGCTCGTGCGCTTGAATATGTTCATGTCTGCGTAGCGCACATCAATTAGAGCCTGTTTTCCCTCCTCCTGATACATACAAACAGCTTTGTTGGCTGCCGTCGACCACTTGAGAGAAGGGCTAGTTAGGCAAACTGGTTATATAACGTCGGCGAATAACAGCTCTTTATGTAACGGCACGAGTCCACTGAACAAATAAATACCATCTCTACATCAAAGGAACGGGTTAAACTGATCGTAACGTCAATGGATTTAGTCAATATGTGTTTCGGCGCAAAACGTTGATTCGTTTCAAAGGCGCAGCTGCCTCAGAGTGCTATATATTTTCCATAAGAACCCTCAACCAATGGGCAGCTTTAAGCTCGCCGGCTGGACAGCTGGAAAGCTGCTGGTCGGCCACACAGGGCAGACTGTAGTGCTGGAAAACCGCGGACCGATTCAATAGCGACCAAGAGACCGCAGCTTAGCAATGAGCATAAGCAGTCCGGCACCTCTGGAGGCGAAGCAGCTGGCCTAAGACGGACAGCATAGACACTTTTGGACCAGCACTTGCAGGTCGGCAGGAGGGCTGCTGTGGGCCACCAGCTGTACAGCTGCAGGTCACCGGCTTTACGGCTGCAGGTCACCGGCTTTACGGCTGCAGGTCACCAGCTTTACGGCTGCGGGCCGGGCAGCTGGGCAGCTGCCGGTCGGTGGCGCGGGCGGCGCCGCTCGGCGTATCGACCTCTGTCTGCCGACGCGGCTGGTCGTGGCAGCTCGGCGCCGCTCCAGAGCGGCCCCGATCGACGGAGCCGCCGACACGGACTGCAGCGCACAGTGGCACGGCAGCACAGCAGCGTACAACACAGTGGGACAGCACAGTGGGACAGCACAGTGGGACAGCATAGTGGGACAGCACAGCACAGCGGGACAGTGTAGGAACACAACAGCGACACAGCAGCACAGTAACATAACACAGAACACAGCACAGCGGCACACAACAGCGGCACAACTGGCACAACACAGTACATCATAATAATACAGCGACACAGTAAAGCGACACAGTACAGAGTAACAGCACAATGGCACAGCACAGCATAGCGGAACAGTGGCATGGCAAAGCGGGACAGTGACATAGCACAACTGAACGGTGACACAGCAGCATAGCACAGTGGAACAGCACAGCAATATAACAGTTACGCTGGTACCGCAGAGCATCACAACAACACAACAAACAAATACCAAAATGTTATTTGGGTAAGCGTACCTACTATTGGCTCATTTTGAAGTCGTTCGATGATAATATGCGCTATTTGTTGTTGCCTTTTTCTTTGTTTATTTTGGTTTATAACCATGCCTACATAAGCCTGTCCTACCAATACTGGGTCTTTTAAATACATGTATTTTAATAGCCATGACGCCCGCCACCCTAATCTCAACAAAAATAGCTAGTCCGGTGGATTACTACAAAATCTCGAAACTATTCTTCACATCCACAACAGCTATGAGATAGCCGGGGATTAGAAGCCTTCAATAGCGTGTCTAAAGAACCGGTCCGACTGGAGGTTCGAGCTCAGCGTTCCAAGCGCGCCATCCTGCAGGCTCGGTGAGGAGGGGTCAGGTCACAGGGTTCAACACTGCGTCACATCAGAGGGGGCGCTGCTTTAGTCGCCACCGCACCGGTAGACCGTGTTGCAGTTACGACGCCGGGATCCTGCCCGGCGCAGACTCGCCGCTACAGAACGCGGCCGGCACTTCCGGGCAAGGATGCAGCGATGCAGCAGCCTGCTGTAGGAGCCACTGGCAGTCCTTGATGGCGATGAAACGGCTACCGAATGCACTCGTTGCATATACCTAGTTAGTTCGTAATGAAGGTGTCACTTTCCACCAATGTTCTGGGAAAATGAAAAGGAAGGCATGGACGTGGTCATCGCCATCACCCGGATGATGTGTCTATCGTAACTCACACTTCAAATAATTGGTTGGCTAGAAGAAACCAAAATATATAAAGCAGTGGCTAAGTGGAAAAGCCCCCATACCTTGGGACCCGTGTATGACTTACTATATCGCGCCAAACACTTATCCACAAGTATACCTACCTACTGCTGTACCCTTTCGCACGCCGTCAGCGCACTGACGTGCCCCGCCGTACCGCGCCGTGCCGTGCCATACTGTACCGTACCATACCGGTCCGTACCCCGTCGTACCCCGCCGTCCCGTACCCTGCCGCGCGGGCCTCGGGCCGCCAGCGGCGGGCGTCGTCGCTCTGATGGATGGGCGCCGGGACGCCCGGGGCGGGTGACGCCGACCAGCCCCGGGCAGCGCCGGCCGCCAGCCAATATCACTCATCCGCCGGCAGCCAGGCCGCCCGGCATCGCCGCTGTGCGCCGCACAACGGCCTCCCCTGCCGCCCGAGCCGCTCCGTCACATCAGAGACAGACCCGCACTGTGCTCCATGAGAGAGCTTTGTTGTAGGTTAAAAATCAAAATTTAAAAGATAACCAGGCTGTCTAAAAATAAAAGAAATTCAGGATGTCTCACAGTAAAAGCTTATTTAAAGATATTGATAGTTTCCAACGAATAAATCGTATAAACAGTGATGATTTTCTGGAAACATTATGGTGACGCCCGAAATCCTCAACTGATGATGTCTAAATGTACCCGATACTGCATTAATGGTTTTATTGTTTCGCTGCCATTTGTAGGCATTTGTTTTCTTGATTTTTTTATCGTCTCACGCATTGGTATCTTTTTGGCGTTTACTGCAATGCACATTGCGCAACTTGGCATTAATTTAATATCTATACAATCGTTTTCTAAATTCACTTGTTTCACTAGCAAAACAAGGCCTAAAGGAACGATGAGTGCAGTTCCCCTTCCGTAGCGTTTGAAAAATTATTTAGGGGAAGTTGGGGCAATGCCGGAGTTGGGGCAAAGCCGAAATTCGAGATATTTCGAAAACCGTAAGACAAGGATGCCACCTGTCAGTGATGCTCTGAAGCTTAAGTGACTACAATTATCGCATGTTTGTTACGAGTCGTCATTCGGAATACTTCGGCTGTGAGGGCGCCAAGAGCGTTTTTAAGGTACGCGTTCCTTGTAGTTACTACATGCGCCTTTGAAGCTGCATTTCTTACTCATTATGCTACCGTTTGTCTGGCCAATTCGGTCAAGTAATCTTCAGCATGTCTTTGCATAACCCGCGCCCCGTACGGCCCCCCCCCCTGTCCTTTTCGGTCGATATCTCCTAAACGGCTGGAGATATCGCCACGAAACTTTCAGGACCCCTCCGGGCATCAATTTTACACATTGTGACCAAAAATTTTTCCAGAGGCTATGATAGGTTGGCCACAAATGACGTCAGAGTGACGTCATGTTCTGTCATTTTCGACCGAAAAAAGACCTTCGCGAGAAGACCTGTCAGGACTACAGCTTTGAAGATACAGAAAAATGTTTTAGACATAAAAGGTGTGGAATCAAAAGGGCTACAAAACTGCTATTTCGGTTTTTCGAATTTTTTGGATTTTAACCCCCAAAAATCAAAAAATAGATTTTTTGAATGTAATAGCCAAAAAATCCAAAAAGTTTTTTGAGTTTCGAAAAAACCGGAATATATGTGATAGTGCCTACCGTCTTCTATCTACATACCAAATTTCAGATCGATACCTCGTTTTTTGGCCAAGTTATAGCGAAAAAAACTGTTCAAAAATGATGACGTCAAATTTTCAAACTCAATTTTTGGCAATTCTAGAACTCGTAGAGCAAAACAAAGACCACCATTAGACTCCCCGTGACGAGCTGCATCGAATCAATACCCTTTTTATGCAAAAATATCAACTTTGAAATTTGACCTAATTTGACCTGACCTTGACCTGACCTTCACAAAAACGTGACCTAGGCTGGCCCCAAAGGCTGCCTAACCCACATAATCGCATTTGTCATGTAAAATGGACCATAAAACATGTATCACACGACACATTCATATTGTGACCCCCGGTGACCTGACCTCGCTGTGACCTGACCTGGTATCAGTGACCTCAGATAGCAAAGTATGTGTTTGACGAACAATGTACCATCGATGGTTTTCAATAAATTACCAATTTACTCGCTTTCACAGCACATTTCTTGAATTGCCTGTGAACGGTGAAAATCTGACCTTTGACCTGACCTGTGACGTCATCGGTTTGACCTAGGTCAATGAAATTTGGTCACAAGGTAGTTACCGGGTGAGGCTATCGAACGCCGTTTGAATTTTGAAAATCGGCCGGTAACTTTCCGAGATCTTAGGGGGGGGGGGGCGAAACGGTCCCCCCCCCTACGGGTGGTAGGGTCCGCCGGTAGCCCTACGGGGCGCGGGATAAGTGTGCTGCCTATTTGAAATTTATACGGCACGTTGAAAAGTTATGGGCCTGCAAATGAAAGGTATGGCTGGCTGGGGCAATGCCGAAAACGTGCAATTACGCACGTTAAAGCACGCTACGTGGACTTTACTGCTGTAGAATAGCAACGCGAATTTTTAGTCACACAAATTACACTTTCAACCGACATAACGGCCTGTAACCTATAAGGAATTATTTACCTGGCATTTTCTTATTATATCACATAATTATAACTTCCAGTGTGCACCAAGCGTCCTCAAGCTCTTAAAACGCGTGTCAGCTTTGATAAATTCTGGATAAAGTTTGAGATAAAGTGGCAAAACATCAATGTCGGCATTCCCCTAGATCATTTCTCCCATTTTCGGCTTTCCCCGCAGTCCGGGGCAACGCCGAAAAAGTCACTTCTTTGATATTTTTAGTTTGTGCGCTTAACGGTATGCGAATTCATCAAATGCGCCTGGTATGTTTGAAAGGCAGAAGACTGGCCTCTCGAATGACGCCAACAAGAATAGCTTATGTTGTCTACCTTGCGTGCTACGGGCGTCAGAAAAAAGTATTCGGCGTTCCCCCAACTTCCCCTACATTTAGTCACTTCCCTCGCACAGAAGAAAAGTTGATAACTGGTAGGCATCACCAAAAGCTTGATTTAAATTATAGGTATACTGCAAAGTAGCTAACACACAAACAAATTGGTAATTGGTAATTGGTAATTCGGCTTACGGGCCACCACAAATTGTTGTATTTGGGCTTTGGGCCCGGTTCTGTTTGTTCGTCCGTCCGCGTGGTCTTGGTCCACGCGGACTTGGTCTTGGTCTTGGTCTTGGTCTTCGTCCACGTTGTCTTGTTATTTTCTTCATGGCTCGTTAGGGTGGGGCGAGGGGTGGGTCGGGGAGTCCTAAGTATCTCCTCCCGGGTAGCCGGATTGCCCCTTTTATTTTGTTTGTTTTTGTTTTTGTTTTTAATGCTATTTTTCACACAAAAATGTGAGCTTTTTATTTGAGTTTTTTTAGCGTAAGCCCTTCCTCCAGCGTCCGAAACCGCCATAATTGACAATCTGATCACTTAGCCTCTATCATTTCTGTAATCTGTTGCATATTTAGAATTCAAAAATGTTTATGTTTATTGTGCAAATATAAATGATAAAAACATGGAAGCACAGAGCAATGCTTAACCTGCGCCCCGCTGGAGGGGGCAGAATCTGCCCCCCTCCCGTTTTTCGCCGATAACTTCTAAACGTGTTACGCCAGCGACGTCAATCTTTCAGTACCTTATTATACATTAATTTTACACGTCCAATGAAAATTTGAGCGAAATCCGTCGGAAATTGTTTGAGAAAATGGCGTTTTAGTGACGTCATGTTCGCCATTTTCGCCTCAAAAACGGCAAAATTTCAAACGCCGCTAACATCTTCATTTTTAAAGGAATCAAGACCTATCAAAAAGGTTACACGTGATTTTACTTTATCTATCAAATGGCTATCTCCGTTTTCTGAAAATTTTGGATTTTGGCCCAATTTTTTTCTTAAAAAACTGACTTTTTTGGGGAAAATAATTATAAAATGCAAAATTTTGAGCCTATTGATAAAACCGGATTATATGTCTGAGAAGTGGTCTATTTGCACCTACATACCAATTTTTAGAAGAATCGGTCAAAAAATGTGGGAGTTATTCAAAATTTTATGACGTCACGACACACGAAATTTTTCAAAAATGATTTTTTTGGAAGTTCTAGACTTCGTACGGAAACAAAAATAGCACCATTCGATTCGCCGTGAAAAACCGCATTAGATAGACACCTTTTTAGGCCTTAACAACCAACTTCAAAATTTGACCTCACTTGACCTGAGCTTGACCTGACCTCAACCTGAAATTCATCCAGATGTGGTCCATATCACTTATTGAGTGTGTCTATTGAATTCTATGAATAAAATGACCCATAGAACATGTGTCGCACATGCCCTTTTCTATATTTCGTTTTTGGTGACCTGACCTGACCTGACCTTGACCTTTGAATGATATTTTATGCAACGAATATTGTCTTGGTAGCCTATGAGCACGTTTTGGGCAATCAGTCTCAGTCCATTCTCCGGCAACTACGGTGCAAGGCAGATACTGTAGAAACTTGCATTTTGTACCCTTGACCTGACCTTGACCTGACCTCTGACCTACTTAAGCAAAAAAAAATTGGGCTCTTAAGATCCGCCTTGTTGAGACCTCTCGATTGTCGTTTTCCTCGTCTTTCTACGACCATCGGTTCGGAAGTAAGACAGGGGGCAGAATCTGCCCTCCCCCCCCCCCCCCCCCCCAGCAGGGCGCGTATGGCTGAATAGCCCAGCGGGGCGCGGGTTAAAAACATCTTCCAAGTTCCATCCACCTTATTACATTACCGGTCTTTGGCCAATGACTAAAAATCATTTCTAAGCGATCAAACTGAATAAAATACTATATATTTTTAAGATCCTTTCACATAAGAACCTATGAATAATTGAGTGCACTTTTTTCTTCCTTAGCAAAATAAATAGGGAAACATAATTACGTTGAACAGGTTATCATAGGTCTAACGTCGGATATTCATTGGATCAGCATACTGGGTATCATCGAATGCCAGTCGTTATGGCATACCTAGATATTTTGTATGTATGGTGTCATTTTATAAATGGTCGGTGCGTAACTAATTCGGTATAAAAAGACGCGAATAAGAAATCATTTAGGTTATAATTCAGTCTCACTTCTAGCGCCTCCCTGTCTGAAATGTGCGCGGTGACTGAGGTGGTTCTAGTTGGCTGATTTGTGACGCCGTTAGTTTGCTCAGGGTTACAGTAATATATGTCCTGTCAGCTCAGCACCCGATATCCGTTTCACTTTCAGATGACGTTACCGCACATCGGGAGATTCACTTAGTGTAGATTCTTTGTTCGGTTGATATGGCTGAGTGCTATGAAATGAGAGAAAACTTGTAACGATAGACGTGCATTGTTCTGGTATGAACAGACCTGCTCTCGGCAAACGGTACAAAAACATCCATGATTCTTTCAAGAACAACAGAGAAACAACTACTCAATCATATTGGCTAGCTGGCCATGTAAGTAAAAACGGTCCCACTGCTCCTAATTCATGGAGTTCAGCAGCCCCTATACACAAACAGACCAACCAGCTGCTCCTACACAAAAAGATAAGCTATTGTTTATAGACAGACCAGATGCTGTTTACAGACGGACTTAGCTCCTACACAAACAGACCAGACCAGCAACTCCTACACGAGCACACCAGCAGCTCCCATACAAACAGAACAGCAGCTTTTCCTACACAAACAGACCAGCCGCTGTTTATAAACAGACCAGCAGCTCTTGTACAAAAAGACCGACTGTTATTTGCAGACCAGCTACTACCAACAGACCAGCTGCTTGGGCTACAAAAACGGTTCTAATATTATCAGACCTCTTCACCCCCACAAATAAGCCCGTCGGTCTCGATATAAATGGACCCTTCATCCCGGTAAAAACAAGCATGCCATTCCATCTTCCGGCACAAACATATCGCCTTGGGTCTAGCCGACCAGCTGCTTCCGGCAAAAAAAGGTCCGTCTTTCAGTTCAATTTTCTAGACCTAAATCAGCTCCAAATTTAAAAGCGCCACTTCAAAACAACTACGGAGTGGCCGCTCCCAGTACAATGAAATTCATGCAGCTGTCGCTAAAAGCCCCGTTACAGACGGTTCGCCATCTCAGCAATCGGTAGATGACTCGACGCTCACCCGTGATCCCTGCACAGACGGGTGGGTCACCGCTGTGCACCAGCTCGTCACGCAAGAATAGGTAGACCAGTGCCTAAAGCCGCCAGGCCGGCCTCCAAGCTCCGCAAACTAATCACAGGCCGTCCCCCGGTACTCACTTTGGCGGTGCTACGGTGCGGAACGGCAGGTCCTCGTCGGCGCCGGCCAGCGCGGCGGCACCCAGCAGCCAGAGCAGCGCGGCCGCCGGCGGCGCCATGCCGCTGCAGGCCGCTGGTCGGCAGGCTCCCTCCCTCGCTCGGCGGGCTGCGGTGGGCGCTCAGCTCGGCTGGACAGCCATCGGCGGCAGCCGTGCGAGCCGCTGCGGCCGGCGCGACGCCTCGCCACCGAGTGTCGGCCGGGCGGCGGCGGCCGCTCTCGCGCTCTCTCTCCGGGCTGGAGGGTCGATACGAGCAGCGGCGCGCGGCCGGCGCGGCTCTCAGCCGGCCGCGCAGCAATCCACTGATCAATGCTGCCGCGTGAAATTCGGCCGAGATGTTGTCTCGCCGGCGGCAGCTCGCCGGAACGACAGGTGCCCCTCCAGCCCCGCCCCGCGCCGCGCCGCCTCAGAGCCCAGCTGCAGCGGCGGCGGACACGGCCGAGCGGGGCGGGCAGGGACGGCGACATAGCTCGGAGCAGTACCGACTGCAGCTGTCAGCAACTCGAAACGCTACCAACTGCACAAGTACGATGTATGAACCAGAGTGGAATGTCTGTACTTACATGAAAAGATAATGGTACAAGCCCGCCTTATCTGAACGAATCTTGTTACAAGCAAAGCCACGTGCGACGTAGGTGTGATGGCCGATGGCGACCTTTTCTGGTCTGTGATCTCTGTTTAACGCCCCAACGCGCCAATGTTCTGTCCAATCAATGCTATTAAAAACCTGGGCTCAGAAACACAAGCCAGGGACGTTGCAGCTTGTGATCTGGTTTTCAAAATGGACGTTAGTGAACGTGCTCCGGTCAAAATGGGTGGTTGAAACAGTTTATTTTGTCGTTCCTGAAAATGCTGATAAATCTTTAAGCATTTTAGTCGGCAATTTTACCTTGGCGAGGTGAACAAGCTGTGAACCGGCGAACCTGAAGATAATGCTGCTAGCTTTTTCATACGGCTACCTAACACTTCAACTATAGACTATAAGATTATGCCTATATACAATGCCTATAGACTATAGATTATACCTCTGTTTCAAATCGACTGAACCTTTTTTACATAGGTCGTATTGCATTGACCGCCCTGTTTCCGGCGCAGAGCAATTGGCTGGATTTCTTTATTGGAGCCTGAAATTAACATGTCATCCGGGATGACTTTTCAGAGCTGATGCGGGGGACGAAATCACCGGAAAACAAATTACATGTTGTACTCCCTTACAGGCCGCGGTATGCAGAGCTTACTGTCCACCAGCGGCAGCCAATCGGGACAATGCCGAGCTGCATGGATTGGAGGATAAGAAGCCAAAACTTAGCATGCCTTCTTAACCGAATCACCGCCACAGCCGGGGGCGCAGGAATCTTCAAAACTCGAGCGCCGGACGATTCGAACCCGACTCCTCACCACCGGGAATCCGACGCTCAACCAAGATACAAAAAAAGGAAGATTGTATATATGCTAATCGTTCTCGTATTTTTACGGCGATAACCTATTTAACTCGTAAAACGTTATGTGCTAATTGCATAAGAATAGGTAGATACCTAATTATTTTTTGTCATAGATTTCTTATTCAAAGCGAACGATTATTTGCCGTCAAATGGGATGTGATGATACCCACCAACACAAAAAAGGCCATTAGAGCTTCTCCAATAACTTCAGAACCCAACTATCTCGCACTTAGGTATCTCTCACTTGTAACAACCGCTGGTTTCGGGTGCAGCAGTGGCAGGCAGCCTATCATGCCCAATGCTGAGTGCGGCGTCATCCATCGCCAGTCATCGTCCATGGTCAGTGGAGCCGCGGCCATCACTCCAATGGATAACGGTGGTCATAGGAATCCAGCCCAATGGATAACACTGATCATATAGGAATCGGTCCGTACCCGGGCCATTGTCTGGCCGACCTCCCTCTCTCTCTCTCTCTCTCTCTCTCTCTCTCTCTCTCTCTCTCTCTCTCTCTCTCTCTCTCCCTCTCTCTTTCTCTCTGATCTCTCTTCCTCTTCCTCTCTACTTCTGATCTTCCTTTTCCTCTCTCTCTCTCTCTCTCTCTCTCTCTCTCTCTCTCTCTCTCTCTCCCTCCGAGTTTTGATGCCTCGCGGGTGCTCCTTCGGCAGGTGCAGCCGTATTATTCCCCAGATACCTGTATCGGGAAGTGACGCACCGCCACTGCAAGCCAACCAAATCAGAGTTCCTTGTTGGTGGGTATTAGTGTATTGCGAGAAACTGATCGACCGGGCCATTTGTTCATACTTATCTCCAACTTGTCCAAATACACATTCAAATAAAAACCAGACAAACTAGAAATAAAACACAGTTTCCCATATGTCTTATCTCTAATTTATTCAACGCCTCGATAGCAGCAAATGCAGCATGTTGAAGCCATTTGCATATAGTGCATGCTCTGCAACTGTTCCACTCCTTTGGTGCACGCTAAGCAGGCAGTTCTAACTGTATCTAGCGCCAAGCTCGTACCAAAGTCAGTGATTCTCTCGCACGCCCCAGCCAGACCCGTTCACACAATACACCTCCGGCAGCCAGTCAGCGGCCTTATAAGCTGTGCTGTGCCACCAGCGTCTGCCTACAGATCCGAGACAGCTGCAGTATGAAAAACAGATATATCACTCTCAGCACGCTTAGCAGCTCAGCATTGCCCGACAGCGAAACGGCACCCAACACAAACTGAGAACGAGGTGAGTGAGAATAGGGTAAGGGGCCATCTTATTGCTGGCACAAACCGTCGCCTATGAAGCGAGCACTCCAACCGCTAAACGGCTCTCGCATCTCAGACCCCACACCACCTTTCTTTGAGCAAATTCGTGAATGGACTCATCCATTTCGGGGAGTGGGCCTGACAGTGACATGGTCGCAGCGCTGGTGCCGAGGGTCACGCCAATGCAGAGCGTACACCGGTGATCTCACAATATACACAGCTCGCGGGCCGAGTTCGCACGTAGGTAAGTAGGTATGTTAGAAAAGAAGGGTGGCGTGACGCCGGGCTAGTCCGGGCGGCCGCCGCGCGGGCCGCCCACGCGCGCAGGTGAGCGCCGCGCCACTAGGATTGTCCGGCTCGGTTGAGCAGAGTTCGGCGCTGGAACCCGAGGAGCAGTCGCAAGGCGGCACGACATTGGATGCAGTAATAGCAGCGATGGTGCACACAGCGCTCTACAGTTCGACGCCGCGGTGAGACTCCAGTCACCACTCCAGTCCATCGTGATTTCATCAGTCCTCTGGCGAGACGATTGTGTACGCTCGCCTGTCTGATGCAGACCACCCACCCCCTCAGGTGCTCCCCTCACATATTGTGTCCCCTCCCCCACAGGTGCATACCCTCCCCACTCCCGTATCCTCGATTGCTTGTTCCATTTTATGTAGCAGTGCTCCCACGTTCACTGCAAGCCCTTTGGAATGAGCGAGTGAGTGGGATGATGATGCTTCCCATCCCAAAGGGAACCTTAACTGCGTTGTTATGCCTGTTAGAAAGTGTATGAAAGTGTATTGTTTCATTAGCCTGAAAAAAACACAGCTGGCGATATTTCCTAAGTTAAACTGGCCTCAAAAGAACAGTTAGTTGTTCTATAGAACACCGCCGCCAAGAACAGAACGAATAAAGCGAAAATTTGAATGCATGAACGTTGAACAATTAATGAACAGGTTGCATGTTGTGAACCATGTGCCTTGCTATGCCCCGGTTGCAGTGAAATATCGCCTGTCAGCGCCGTTCCCCGAGCCATGACATTTATCAAACACTGCTAACGTATAATTACACGGTGCTCCATGTCCCATTTGTCCTATTCCAGCGGGGAAAGTTCATATCACGACCCGTCCCCCCCCCCCACCATACCGGTAAAACGGGACCCCAGTATCACTACCCCGTTAGGCCCCCAGATACCCCATCAAAGGGTCACTATCCTTTCAGACATCCCCTCCAGCCTATCCCACTAACCGAGGCTGTGCCGAAATGTCTGCCACCGCTCCACCCAGGGGTATGGTGCTGCTGCCACACCATCGCCTCTGTATACTCAACACGCGCCGAATACAGTGGCTCCATACAAAAATACTTATAAAAACGCCGCGCTGCCGACGCCGGCCCGGCCGCGGATGGTGAGCGGCGGCGGCGGCGGACCGACGCTACGGTGTGCCTACTTCTTCACAAACGGCACCAGGCCCTCAGCCACCTTGTCGCTGACGTGCAGGTAGATGATCCAGTACATGAGGTTGAAGCAGATGAACGTCACGGGGAACACGATCCTCGAATATTTGTCCACATCCGAGGGACTGCAGCCCAACAGCTTGTTGACCTTCTTGCTCTTCAACAGCGCTGTGAAAAGAGACGATACAATTCAGGACACGAATGCCATACCTGATCAATGATCATTGCTCATACATAGGACCACTTGCAAAAAAAGAGAGATAATTTACCAAGTACAGCACTGGGGGTCTAAACCACTGTCAAACCGCTGGTCTAGGGAGAACTGTTCGATCGAGAGGTGACTGTCGTTCTCGGTGAGGCGAGGAGGGGGCTGGTCCCCCGACTGTCAGTCCCGGGCCACCCACCCGCCCGACGGGGATGGTCCCGCGACTCTCAGTCCCGCCGGAGAGGACCGCTCGGTCACGGGACCAGCACTAATTACCCGGCCTGTACGGAGCGCCAGTCAGCGCCGGCACAAATCGGATTACCATATCAATGCGCCGTGATTGAGGAGACGACCAGTCGCAGCGGCGGAACGCGAGCGCCAGAGTTCGGCGCAGGCGCGGCGAGACAGGCGCAGATTGATATCAAACGTGATTCGGTCAGAAGCTATGAGAGCTCACTCTTTTTGTTTGTTTATTTACACGGCGCAACGGCGTAGTATTTCCTCCATATCATTCTTTTTACTGCTGCTGTTTTCATCTTATGTCATGTTTAGCTACTGCGCTGACTGCCATGTATGATAAGTGGTGACGTCCGTGTCATCATCAGTCCGGGGACTGACCAAAAGGAACTGTACACGTATCACACTTGTAGTGACTGCATAACGTCTCGCCGCCGCTCGCCGTTGACTCACACGCCATGTTGGCCGACTCCTCGTCATGCCTCCCGCCGTTTATGGTGTTCTCCAGAATGCAGCCCTTCGAGTGGGCCTTCGGATCGTGCACCTTGAACCTCACCTCCTGTGGGACACGTACAAAATCGTAAACATCATAACTTTATAATCAGCTGCGCTTTTATTAGGATACCCTGAAACTTTTTAATTGACACCACTATTGAAGGTTAACCACAGGTTTCATTGCACCCTCATCACAAACTTCAACAGCGAGAGATCGTGCTCTAGAAATTATGAAGAAAAGTAAAGATTTAATAATTTAATTTCCTGCAGCTTAATATCTATTCATATAAACTAGGTCAGCAATCACACTTCATTGGATTTCGCGCCGAGGCCCGCCTAGATCAAGCTGAGGCGCGAGTTCGCTGTGATAAGCTGAGCTCCGGTGTGTGTTCGAGATACTTACGCAGGTGTGCGCCTCTCGATGGTCGGCGCAGGGCTGCGGGCCGCACTGGTACGAGTGGGTGCCGTGGCCGCCGTGGTGGGCGCCGTGACCCGAGTGGCCCCGCCGCAGTGTACTCATCTGCGCGGCACAGGCGGCACGGGTCACAGCAACGCTCAATAACTGCACACAAGACATGCAGCTTTACAATATCCAAACACCGCACGGGCCGAACACAGACATTAGACACAGCCCGACCGAGCTTAGAAACAGCCAGGACAGGCTGGTCATAATATCCGCAGAACAGCGCTGTAAGTCACAAAGACTCACATATAATCGGCACTCGATGGAACACAATGTCTCATATGCGTGAGTCGTCGGTCAAAGATGTCTCGCAGTGTCTCAGCTAGCCTGACTGCAGTGAGCAGCGACATCTGCAGCCTAGTATCTCTCCAGTGCCGCCGGCTCTGTACCTATCCTCTCAGGCCGCCGATAGCGCCACCGGAGCCGTCCTTCCGAGCCCACAGCGCCCTCTGCGCCCGTCCCGAACCGGTAGCATCTCACCAACCAGGCGACCAAATGCCAGCTGAGACCGAAATCTATCGTAGACCTAATACTCTTGGCAGTAGATGCCTATACGTATAACGAAAGCAGGAAATGGTGCTCATTTTGGTGAAGCCTTTTGATCTTTTTGTAAAGGTGTACTCTTTATGTTCCGGGATTATTGTAATTAACTGCCAGCTTTCCAGCTGCGACATCTCTATGTTATTCATTGTTTCATTCCAGCCATAATTCCAGCCTCGTCTGTCAATCCAGTCCATCCCCAGCACCCGCACACCCTGAGCTCTAGCCTCAGTCTCCACCAGCGCAGTATGACTCACAGCAGATTTGGACGTGTGCTCGTCGGCCATGACCATGGCTGTGTGGTCACGAACGTCCCGCTGCATCTTCTCGATGGCCATTTTCTGGATGGCCATCAGTCGCGTGCGCCGCATGCCGATCCTCTTGGCAATGTAGCCCACGTAGGCGTACTCTGCCGGCAGAAACGACACCAGGATAAGTCAGTGTCGGAGAGGGGCTCGATAGACGGGTCAGAACCTTGATTGACAGACCAGGGTCAAAGGTCATCGACGGTCGACGGATCAGGGTGGAGAGGGGCTCGATAGACGGGTCGGGGATGGAGAGAACCCTCCATAGGTAGGCCAGCGTTGAAAAGTCCCGCGATCGGTGAGTCTATGCCGAGGAGGGTCCTCGAGAAACGCCTCAGAGCGAGAAAGGCTCGGCGAAAAACGCCTCAGTGTTGGAGAGTGTCTGCAGAAAACGCCTCAGTGCCGGGGAGGATCGTCAAAAAACTCCTCAGTTCACAGGAAGGTCTCTGATCGGCGGGTCAACGCCGTCAGTGGGCGTGAAATTGGCGGCCGCCAGACGGAAAACCGAAATCCGCGGCTAGCGGCGCCGATTGGACAGGGCCTGAAGTGGCTGAGTGGGTTTTCGGAGCACCAACACCGGGGATCAAACGAGGGCCGCCCCGTCCTGAGCAGATGAGAATTGGATAAGCCGCTTGGGCGTTGGGGAGTTTCAAATGATAAATATACGGACCAAACATTGTGTGCCAAGCCTTCATATGGTGCGCACAGCGCAATGCACATGTTACGAACAGTCAATGCGACACATTTAGAAAACACAGACGCATCTTTTCGCAGTCTGACTAATATCCTAACACGTTTCTGTACATACCATTATTTGGTGAGAGCAATTACAGAGCCTTGTTTGCGCTCGGTTTAGGACAAATTAGGGTTAAGAAGCTATTCTCACTTACGTGCGGTAAAGTAACATCGACATGAAATGAAAGATGTGCCAACTGTTCTTATTAAAGCCCCAAAGTTTGATTGATAAGTAATTTGACTAATTTGACTAATAAACTGGGTCATGAATCAGAGCATTGATTAAGTGCGAGGATAAGACCACTGGTGCAGCTTTAACTGCGTTATGGATGTCTCATGCCGTCGATTATAATCTAATTTATCCATGCAGATATTCCTATCAAATAATTCTTCGTAATCAGGACTTGTCCTTGCCAACGAAGCTTGAAATTAGCTCATATATTTATCTTCAGAAGGGCTTAGGATTAAAGAGGTGGCTAGTCTTTATATCCTAGTCCATTAGCATGTAGAATATGACCAGAACTCCCAATGCGCCTGCCTTCTTTGTTACAAGAATGTTACAACCAAAAATCAATTAGAAGGGAGGAAAAACAGTGTCACTATTATAGTCGATCATGTACAGACAATTATCAAGCGCTTGGGCAATCTTAACCATTCGAGACAAACATTTTTCAATAGCAGCCATTAGCCAACAAATAACAACAAATAGTATCAAAACCAATTTCTTTATATAAACCGACTTTGCAAACTTTCATAAAAGGTTTGTGAACATCCGAAATATGTCTGTTAGTGGCAGCACCATAGGAACCCCGTCGTGTACCACGTCAACCGACAGCAGGCACTTGGAGCGGTGACGAAGTTGCCGGGCCATATCGTGACATGATTATGTTCGACAACAATCGGCACATAACTCTTTTGATAGTAGCCCGCTGTGTTGAACTACATGGCTGCCGTGACAGCTGTAATATATATATATATATATCCAGCTACATCACATCAGCATGGGTCATATACTCCGATGCTGAGTGGCTTGAGATGTACTAACTTATGAATTGCTGCAAACTTCGGATGCTTTTCAAAGGGCAACTGCTTCTACTGCTTTGATCTATAAGCAAATTTAGATAAACAAATATATTGCTACACAATTCAAATAACCGCCGTTGGCGGGGATCATAATTAAAACAGTAATCAAGTTTTAGCCGAAGTGTCTGGCATGGTCTCGCCATTTATATTCAACAATCAAGATAACACTCGTAAAGAAAATGTGGCTCATTGAGAAGTTAGAGATGCTTACCTAAGAGAGATGCAAACACCATGACGAAACAGGTTCCCATGTAGACGTCAATGGCCTTGATGTAGGAGATCTTGGGCAGGGCTGCGTTTGTGGATGACATGAGGGTGGTCATGGTGAGCACGGTTGTTACTCCCAAAGACACTCGGGCAGGCGTGGCGTTGCGATTCAGCCAGAAGCTCACCTGAAAATGGAAACGTTCGCATTGTAATTGCTAGGTTGTGCGTTCCGACCCCCACCGGACACGATTTGGTAGCCGAGGTCTGTGACGTCAGCCGGGCGTGAAGTTTTCCCTTCACCATAGGCTTCACACACAAACTGGCCGAAGTTCATGCCAGGATAGCCCGGCTTGAAAGTGCAAAAATGATTAAATTTTGCCCTCAATAGATTCATTGCTTCATTTTATAACTAAAAACGTCCGTTATTAGGCCTCAATGAAGGTAAAAAGTACTCAAAATCGAAGTTCAAGAAGATGCTGTCCGAGCACAATCTGGTAACATCACGTGACCTCTTTTAAGCAGAATGTATATAATGCAAGGATGTTATTACACGATTGCTGCCTAAAACATCATAAATAATACGCTTGTAACATTTATTGCTTCTGTTTGAGTCATAACATTGCAAAACGCAAAGTTTATCATGGCAGTCACGTGACCAAAGGTATAGCAGGGGTTGGGACAAGCACTCAAAGGATTTCAAGTTTTTTAATTAAATTATATAAGTTTCATGATGAAATTGAAAGAATGTATTTTTTCCTAATGAAATACAAATTTTCGTATGTAAAATATTTTCCTTATGGGCGAAATTCTCCATATAAGAAATGTCAGTGACGTCACCAGGGCTTTACTCAAAACATCCGACCAACATCCGACCTACCTGTTTCTTATAGGTATCTTGGTGCGTTCATTTGGAACAACATTATTTGTGGTTATTTTTGTATGCTTGTGTTTCTAATTGGGATCCCCGCTGCTTACAGTAGTCTCCATTGATGATGATTGAATATTTTTTCATTGCATTATTCCACGCAATGCATGAAGAAGTGTGATGTCCACAGCCTATTTTACTTTCTGATACCTTTAAACTAAAGCAAATCTGATTTTATCACAATTTCTTTTCATAGAAAATATGGATAAGTCTATTCAAACATCCGTCCGTATGATGGGACATTGAGATGCTCTATCGATTTGTTCGATTTTACCATATTTCATGAGGAATTATTTTAGTGCTGAACTGCCCAAATGGCAGGCTTCTCGAAGACGTGTGGGCGCCCAGTTAAGTATGATTCACGGACGATCTATCTTGCTTAATGTTTTTGTCCGGGGCAGCGGCCGCGAGAGGCCGTCGATTTGTGGTCGGAGGACCAATACCGGGCCGAGAATGGCCGACCACTCCAACTGATGGTGGAGCAGAGACCCCTGTGAGAAATCGCCTGACGATGGCACATTGTGGCCACCCAGTGGTTACCACCCAGCTGTCGATCTGCTCTGATCCGCTGCCGACACAATCCTGATCAGCACTCCTTTAAAAAGATAAGCGCTTATTTATAGTCTTCACATCGATCTCTAGTCGTAGCTTCAAGATAAATCGATTTCGATGCGTTATAACAGCCCAACATTTTGCCTGATACAGCGCACCCATTCAGTGAGAGCTGTCTCCGTTGAAGGGGTCGACGAACTAGCCTGACAGAAACAGTGAACATCAAACTCCGGCAGTGTCAAGAGCACACACTCCAACCGCCGTCGCCTGCCGCAGCGCTATCACGTAAGCGTTAGGCTGTCGGCAGGCGCCGCGCCGCCTGGCGCCCAGTCTTTACCTGTGAGGTAGGCTGTGCCGCCGCACTCAACTGTGCTGCGGTACAGTCTACCAGTGCAGTGATGTGGTTCTGCGATCGAGCTCGGGTGGCCGGACGTCGTTGTAAATGGAGAAGTTGATACGAATGGAAATAAAGATACACTGATTTATCAAAAATATTACTTTTGCTTTTCTTGATATCACTTTTCAGCAACGGTGTACGTTTATGTGTGCACCGTCACGTCTAATGTCTTAAAAGCTTGACGGTATGGAGACGGTAAAGTGCGTATTGTAGGTACATACCTATTACCTATATTTGGCATCAGAGATCAGGGGTGGGAAACAAGCAAACGGTTATACAAAAAGAAAATAGCACATGATCCTTATCCACTCTTTTGAACTAATAAGGTATTTCTGCAGTCTGACTCACCGTAAGCAAATGCAACTTAAAACAAAACAAAATATGAAATTACCTATAAATGATGACCGAACAATGTTTCGATCATGCTCCAGAACACACGTGTTCAAGGATGGCATTTATGCGTGCTCTCTAGAACTCACCCATGATATGATGACGATGAGACTTGACGGCACGTACATCTGGATCAGGTAGTAGCCCATGGAGCGCTCAAACTGGATTTCCAACGCCAGACGGGAGTAGTTTCCTGGACGGAACAGCCGCACGGTTAGGTCAGTTCCAGTCCGAATTATCAGAGAAGGCGTCAGTGGTCAGAGGTGCCCTCAATACACGTGAGACAATTATTGTGATACTGTATCATGCTGCTTCGAGGTGATCCACAATGCTGTGAAAATGCGACAATCTGATTCACCAAAACCTGCGATTATCACTGATCACGATCATTGCAAAGAGACGAGTAACTGCTAACGACTGTGGGACAGCTAACACAGCACAGCAAAATGCGAGGCAGAACAGCAAGCACGCTACACAGCAATGCATGCAACATACGCATGCCTGTGCTTGTGTGGCTGCATGCCTTCGCCCATCTGTGTGTTAGCTATGTATGGGACACCTTATTGAGCCCGTTGATTGTCTGAGACCATCTAAAACACACACCGGTGTTCCCCCTACAGCATATGAGGGTGGCGGCGTGGTGGGTTGTATGGACACCACTGGTGTGTGGACCACTATTATCTCGACCATCATGTCAACTGATACTGTCTGACTGGGAGCGGGGGGGGGGGGGGGCAGCTAGCTCGCCAATCTCCATGCCTCCTTGCAGCGCCGTCAGCGACCACTCGCTGTTTTTAGTGGGTCGATTCCATTAGACTTTTAGATTCGAATTCTATTTGAATCGCTTTGCCTTTCCACGGGGTGATTTTCTGCTATGGCTTCAGAGCGAGCGAAGAGGCAATGAAGGCAAGAAGTTAACGCTCCATTCAGGCGAAATCATTTATGCACGTTGCATAAAATAGTAAATGTTATTTCTTATATTCTTCCCTCGATAGCGTCTGCTTGAGTGACACAATTATCGAGGCCCTTATGTATGCGGTGGCTTTTTGTCGTGAAAAGACGATTTGGATTGCATCGCAATTAGAAAGCAAAATGCAGAATTTAAATTATTTTGTGACATATTTATCACACATTCTTCTTTGATATATTGTATTTGACCGACCTCATTACCATGACTTCGATAGCAGCCAACACTTGACAATGCTCGGGCGTTTTCTTTTCACCTGGGGTAGAATCCAGCCACCAAAAACAGCGGGCCTTTAGTCGTCTATTTGATCACGCAATACATGATCGAATATAGGAGCGGTGTCGAGTCGACTGAGATCTATCTATGACGGTCGGTCTATGATTATCGCAACGCCTTCAACGACATGAGGGCGAGGCGACAACGTCGTCGGAGCAACTGGTATGGGGCAGAGGCCGTCGCCACAGCACATCAGCGCCGGGGGATATATTAATGACATCGGAAGGCCCGGCGCAATTACCGCGCAACTGGGCGTAGTATGGCACTCAGGGCGAGACGGGCGGCGGCCATCAGAGCCATTACCGCGGCGCGCCGCGCCCACTGGCGACACTTTGTCCGTGACACCGCGCGCCGCCGAGCGGGTTCCTTTGTCCGTCACACACTCGCCGAGATGCTTTGTCCGTGAAGGCCGAGACCGGCTCGTTGGCGAGCTGCTGATGTTACTTTGTGACGCCCTCAGTGGGGAAACTTTGCCGGTGCTCTCTCAGTGGCGTCCTGCACTCAGTGACTCCGCGGCGCTCCCTATGGCAGGCCACTCTCCGTCTCTGTCTGCCCGCTCGGCAGTTATGTCGCTACGGCCACTGGCTCTGGGGCGCCGTGTTTTAGTGTCGGCCGCCACTCACGCTCACACCAGTTCGGGAACAGTGACTGACGGCTCGGCGCGCGACGGAACGTGCCCGCCAGCTCCGCGGCACTCCCAGTTCGCTCAGAGGCGGTGTGACGTCAAAGTGGCCGCCCGGGAACAGAGAGCCAGCAGCCTCACCGGACGTTTAAAGCCCTCATATCCGGCCGACGGTGAATATATTTTGTTATTTGATTTATTTGTGGACGCACACAATAGCAAGATTTTCAGAGCCAATTAACGGTAGACTGCATCCAATGGAGTCGTAATGGGATTCGTAATGAGAAACCATGGGCTCAGTAAGAGCGGACCCTGCTGATTTTTGCAGCACGTTTGCCTCTTTACTGTTTAGGCTCACCTTTCATGAGGCAAACTACAGCGTTCGTGACATGGATGGATAAAGCTGAAAAAAACGTATGGGTTTTTTTACCATTGACGCAAATTATTTTGACACAGCTTGCTGCGCAGCGTCAGTTCTTTGACTAATCTTCACGGTGGCTAAGAAGGTAATTTTATGGTTTCCTCACGCTTGTCAACCTCAGAAGCCTCGCAAAATGTTGCATCGGCTCGGCCTGTCAAACACAACACTGTGCCCACCTGGGGAGCGAGCGGTGTCTTAAAGACTACACCGAGTAGAGGGGATCAAAGTGCCCGTTCATGTCGCCGAGCTCGCCGCCGTTCCCGACGTGTTGCCAGTTCGGTAGCTACATGTAGCCAGAGTTCTGTGATTCTCGCTCCCCGTTGCTGTGTCAACACGCCATGGTGTTATGTCAACATTGCACAATGAAAGGTCATGGGGCGAGTTAAAAGGCTACGTGGCTGTCCCCACCTGTTTCTTTGTTAACTGAATTACTGATGTAATTTCAGAGGCCGTGCAAATGACCTATGCACACTGCATATTATGTAGTACAACCTTCATGTTTCTCTTTTAACGAATACTCGTACATTTAATTAATGAGCTTCATCAAAACTAGATGTGGTGTTTAAATAAACAAGACGTCAGAACACTAATTTTTACTAATAAAGATTGAGCATTGTGCAATGAATAATGCTGATACATTTGCCAACTTTATGCCCTGAAACCGACCACCATTGCACGCTTTGGACAATCTAAGATCAGATTCAGCCAAGCTGTGTGCCTATGCCCGATCGGAGGGAAGGAAGGGCAGGGAGGGTCTGCACGTGGGCTGTTGGGGCTCGGCCCAGCAATGCCCCTGAACTCCGCAGTGCAGATGGAATCCATCGTATTTAGCAGAGGATTATGGGCGGTTCAGTACCAACTAAGCGGTTCGGGCAGTAGATGAAGCCGGCTCCAGATCAGCCTGGCAGCAGCGGGCGGCCCCAGCACTCACACAACGAACAGAGAGCTCGAGGGTAGGCAATAGGCGATAGGCATGCAGCCAGAAGCACGACATGCAGTCAGTTGAGGCAAACAGGCGTGCAGGTCATTCGTCGGCCATTGATTTGACAAGTCTAGCACGAACGGTGCTCCGGAAACCGATCAACACAACCCGCTGGTGAATCACAGTGTGCTATTGAAACTTGAAAGAAATTAAATTATAGCCATTGCGCGACCAATGACCGTTGAATTATGGGCAATTGATTAGCGACTTCAAAGCTGCGCGATTAAGCTAATGGCAGCCGATCTAAGAAATGACGCTAATTAATGCAGTGGTAGGTTGAGAAATGATTTTGTTTCTCTCAAGTTTCATACAAGGGCGGATTTATTTTACCTGGTTCATTTACGAAATTTTGTTATCCTAAGTGTTTTTAAAAACTGTTATGTATACCAGCGTTATGATAATTCTGGTGTTCTTGGTGTTCACTTGTCTGATTATGCACACACGTAAAAGGAAGACTACAATCTTATTCATGACGCAAGCATTTGCTAAGTTTTTGAGTGTCACATAATCTATGTTCCGGAACACAAGGGAAATAAAGCATAGTTTAACCCGCGCACCGACGGGGGGGGGGCGGATATCCGCCCCCCCCCTGAGGTTTTTCGCGAATAGCGGGAAAACCGCGGCGCGTAGCGCCGCGAAATTTGGTATGACTATAACCTCATCAATTTTACACATGGTGTGCAGGTTTGAACCTCCTAACTTTTAAGGTCAGGTCACCAGGTCACTTTGAATGACCCAACCTCAAGTCACTTTTTTGCAACTTTGTCACCGTGCCAGAGCTACAGTAGATGTCGGAGGCCTTTGAAAGTCGCAGGATATTATTAGGTCATTAGTAGCTACAATTTGCATATCTCGGAATTTTGATATCGGTGACCTAAGGTCAGGTCAATTTCGCGACCTCCCCATTATAAGTCAATGGGGGAAAAATCAACTCCCTGTTTTTACCACTAAAACGGGTCGGAATGGCCCCATATACCATACATGACTTCATATACGATCAACCTTCACTACCTTGAGGTCTGTTTTGCTGTTGGGCAGCTGTGAGGTCATGTGACGTCATCAAAGGTCACCAAAGGTTTTTGGCCAATAACTCCGTACAGGAACAAGATACAGACGCGTGGATGGTCTCATTGTGTTCAGCTCGTCAAGACGCATCGAATGATATACATGATGACCTCGAGGTCACGTGACCTGAGGTCAACCTTTGACCTTGACCTTTCGAGGTCAACATATATATCATTCGATGCGGATTGACGAGAGGATCACGATGATGCCCTTAGTTTGTTCCTATCTTGACTAATTCGAAAGTTATTCGAGAAAAACTCTCTCCATATCTAGCGCCGCCATTTTGACTTTTTCGACCCCTGTGACGTCATCTTTGACCTGACCTGAAAATGACCTTAGTAAAAATTGTAGATCTTGGCCGTCCGTATCCGATGCCGTTTACCGCTTGTCGCTATCTTGCTTCGTTCTCGAGATCTCAGGTGGGGGGCGGTCATCCGCCCCCCCCCCGTCGGTACTAAGTTGGCGCAGACCCCCGTCGGTGCGCGGGTTAAGATGGCATTCAATAAATAAATTAACACAACTATGAGTCGTTCAATGCACAAATGAATAACAACGGTACAATCCGCCCCTGTTTTTAATTAGTGACAGATACTGCCGAAATGTTGCACAGTGTACAAAACAAAAAATACAAGACTCAACAGAACTTCAACCTCTTTTAAAGTGCAGTTGGGCAGCTCTATGAAAAAGAGAAGCTACTCGTCAAGAAATCTTTCACACCATAAAACTCCAATTACTAGGTCATTTTGTAAGTTTACTTACTGAGCTTTGTAAAGAACATTTGCGACATTTCAACGATCCTATAGACCATATCACCATTTCGTAATAAATGGGGAATGACGCTTTCGACGTGCACTGAAGCAAACAACGTGCTTCCAAAATTACAATACAAGTCAGAGGGCAAAACGCTGTCTGAAATGGTTTGTATTCTCTCCCCTGAGATTGAGATACCACACCACGCCTCCACACAGGCGGACCCGGCCTTAGTCCCACGTGCTGGGCCGATCCACCAACCCGCACCCCGAACGGCAGACCGCCCGGGGCCCCCTGACGCGGATTGGCCAGACGCCAGTCACGTGACAGGGGCGTCACAGACTCACAGCCGTCTATAATGGCGGAACACAGGCGAGAGTTTATAGCACCGTAAGGTCAAATGTGCGATTATGCAGTAGGGGAAGCGGGGGTAGCACCGCCATGTGGGAAACACCGCCATCCTCTCTATCGGCAAAACTCTGAATTGTAAATGTAAGCACCCGCCATTTCGGTGTCCGAACGGAAACAGGACGCCGCGTGAGGTAAGTTTCGCTAAGATTTATTTGATTTTGAGATCGCAATTGCCCATTTTGTGAATTTCAAACCATCGTTGTAATCATTTGGCATGTTTTAGCAGCAAGTAAGTGGTCATTTCAAGTCAAAATGCCTTGATTTTTACGTTAAATTTGAGGGCATGAAGAAAGGAATTACAGAAGAATCGCGTCCCGGCTTGTTTTGCTGTCGGGGCGTTGTCGGTCCATGACTGTGTGTGGGGTAACACCGCCATGCTCGGCGGTGCTACCCCAAGGGGTGGCAAAATGGATAAAGCCGCAATGATGATTCACTCAGCTCGGAGAAGAGCTTTAGTTAGGCCGCAAACGTCGTCTGTTTTTTAACCTCACGTTTGACTTCACTGGATGTTTCGAAATAAACGTGAATTTGTCATGCTTTGTATGCATATTGTCCGCAACAAACAGTCTGATCTGTGACAAACTAACAACCAACTCTTGTGTGTCTTATACGAGTTCGAGTTACTATTTCAGACAGCAGTAACGCTTCCAAGGGTGGCTGTCACCGTAAGGCCGATCTGTGGATAACATCGCCATCAGTGGCGGTGCTACCCGCACATTTTTTGGAGGACGGAAAATGCAGGACTTGTTTTCAATGTCTGTAAAGTAGCGAAATTTTATAATGGAGCACTGGAAACTATGCCAACATGTAGGAAAATATTCCTACTTTCACAGGAATGCAAAAGAGCTTCGTTTTTACTACGCATATCAGCTCGGTGAGCAGAAATGCTTAAGGTGGCGGTGCTCTCCCCGCTTCCCCTACGAACATTGCACAAAGCATAATACATATCGGTTAAGTATTACCAAAATGAAAAGTTAACGCCTACAGATTCTGCAATTTATATTCTGTGCATATCGATCTCATTCAGCTATCCCGCTTCTTGAGGAGGGCCTAAATGGCAGCGCAGGACCTGAATTTTGTTCATCTCTACGATAGAGTTATTTTCATAACACAATCATTGCAGTCACGTTACAAACTCACAGTGCCCTCAAGAATGGAGGACGAACTAAACGTTCGCTCGGTTACGGGCGGAAGTGGCAGAGCCTACAGCCCTTGGTCGATGATAGAGTTTAGATTTAGATCAAAAACAAAGAAAATGTTTTACGTTGATCATTCATGCTCAACTACTAGCGATAATTCATTGATATCGTACCTACATTAGTTGACCATTCCGAGCATTACAGCGGAAAGAGGTCTTGACGAATTTGCAGTAGAGTAAGACCAGATTTGTTTGATCAGCCAGAAATATTTAATATTGTCGTATAATTATGAAAAATGCCCAACTGCACTTGTGGTGTATGAAAATACCTGTTGACGTTTGAAATAAAATAGTCCGTTGTCTGTGACCGATTATTTTGAACTGAGCCAGCGAGACGCCGCTCTCCACTTTAACCGAGTGTGCCCCGTCCTTCCAGATATAGCCGATCTCGGTGGTCGTGTAGCCGACTGTCAGACAGGGGCAGACAGAGCGGAGGTAGGGCGCGCACACCGGCACACACACCCGCACACACACGCACAGACAGACAGACAGACAGCCGAAAGCTAAGCGTGTCGGCGAGACTGTCCGGTCAGCGGCCGGCAGAGCCCGGTCAGAGCGGGCCTTGAGCTGCGGGCGGGCGCGGCGGCGGCTGCGGCGGCCTGTAAGTACAGCACGCGCAGCACCCTCACCTGTCGACGTTGTGAAGAGAATGCTGTGCGTTTTGTGGCCCATGACAATAAACTGTGGCAATTTCACATCATCGTCTATCTTTATGGGCTCCTCGCCCTTCCATATATACCGGATATCGCCAGTGGCGTACCCGACTGGAGGTAAATTCGACATTGTCATCAGGGGACAGCACGGCGACTGGAGATAACAGCGCCTCTATGACAACGGAACACAGCACAGTGACTAGATGTACGCCCAAGAGCATTATCAGAACACCACATGACAAGGGACGCGCACAGACAAGCTGACAGAACAGCACAGTAATACACCCAGGATCGTTTTCCGAACTTCCGGAAGCACTATGAGAATAGCGTGATAATCTGCCTGTCATGATATCAGAACAGCAAAGACTAAAGATACGTCCAATTTTGTCGTCAGGGAGACACAAACCTTACAGTCAGGAGGAAAACTGACCACACTAAGTAAACACCACAGTGATTGGGATAATCCGTCCGGTCACGTCATAAGAAAGTACAGTAGCTAGGAAAAGACACGGCCTTGTCATCAGAAGGGAAGCAGGGTAACTAAAATAGAGTTGATCAAGGTCATCACTGTGGATTAATATATCTGGTCACGTTATCAATGGACAGCAACAGCAGATTAGCCAAGAAGATGTCGCTGACAACACGGCTGGTAAGCATGATACGACATAGCAACCGGACAGAATATGCAATGACAAATGTAACAGCACTTAAAAGTTCGGTTTATATAGAGAAAAGTTACGGACAGGTTAGGACTGTAACTTTTAAGACTTTGACTTTTTTAAGACTTTGTTAGTTCAATTACACGTTACGCATATTGACCATGGTTGGCATTTGAGTCGATAGAAAAGCTGCGGGATTTGGAGTTTTCCCAAAAGCAATTCACACATCTTTTCTATATGGATCTTATATGAAACATGGATCTAAAACGTTAAGCACGTGATACCACTTTCACTATTTGATTCGTTACATTTATACTATACGTTTCTAGTTATATAAAGTTAAAAAATAAGGAGCGCTTTAAGTGGTTGTAACTTTACATAATTATTTTCCTGTGAGCAGTTCCGATGCAAAAATAGCCAACTGACCGGCACTTAACTGTTCCCTGAAATGGACCAGAATCAAAGTTTCGATACCGCGCTAAAACTGACGTTTAACTGTCTGAAATCCGATTCTGAAGTAACCTGTTTCATTGTTTGCGCTATCTCTCGAATAAAACGATCGAAGTTTCAACATTTGAATGACATCAATTCCACGATAATTGACAGCCTTTGATCCAATAGTGCTTATTAAGCAAGGGAAATCCATCGACCAAGCAGGAAGTCGGTCGGGTGGCGGGCACGTGGGCCGTCCGACTGTCCCCTGCGAGCTGGTGGCAGCGGACTACCGCCTCAGAACGAGAGCAAGGACGGAGCGGCCGCCGCGGCACCGCCAGCCCAAATGCCCTATCGACAACGCTATTGAACTAGCTCTGGAAGAAATGGCGTTCATCAAGCGTTACATTTATTATGTATCCGTAACGCACCGGGCGTGTGATGCCTCATCTATTCTATAGATTTCATTCAGGAGCTGTGAAAATTTTATCGACATTCGGCGGTCATTGATTGAGGCTGTGCCCTGTTTACTGTTCCATGGGAAGTATTCGTTCTATGTCAGCAGCGCTGGGACCAGGTTTGGCTCAGCGGGATGATACTCACACGACTCTATTTGCAGTTCGCACAGCTGTCGATCCATGGGGAAGAACATGAGATTCATCGGACACGAGGCCGTGATGGTCAGCCTGCGGAAGGAGGCGTCCGTCAGTATACGATAGCCGGCAGTCGGCGACTCGGCCGGCGCGTAAGGCCATACGGATCTGAACATACGGAATACGCACAATACTGACGTACCAAAAAGCATCGGTCTACGTATGTCAGGAGTAGCAAGTAAGATTATGAAACATTTTGCTTTTTTACTTCAGACAGTTGTTTTACCCGCTGATTATCTTTTCGCCATTAGCTTTCGGGAGATCGTCGAATTAGCCGTCAGTATATAGATCCTCGATTGGCGATAACTTATCTTCTAAAAAAATATGCATAGTAACTAAACAATAGGTGCTCATATAGCGCACCAAGTATATACGCCTCGCGTGGCATTGACCGATCCGTATCCAATGCGCCTTTTCGCTCTTCTTTTGTGCTCTTTTTCCTATTTTGCATTTGATCGGACTCCACCCATCAGCGCCGATGCCCCTATGCTGATGGAAAATCTCCGGGGATGATGTGATACAGCCAGGTATTGGAGATCGAATGATCACTTAGCTGTAAATGGCTGTGCTTTCGGCTGCATTCAGGGCGGTGGCGGAGCTCCGGCGGCAATTCGGGCATATGGGTCCAGGAGCGGCCGCTATCTGGCCCGCTCCGACGCCGTGCTATTTTGGCGGGAAGGGTGGGGGGGGGGGGGGGGATGGGGCGAATTGAGGCGGCCGCGGCCATTGTTTGACGTCCGTCCCTAGCCATTGATCGAATCCACGCAGGGTGGCGCCCCCTCCCGTATACCGGGACATGAGACACCGGCTCAACAGCTGCCGGACACAGCTCAGCAACCGGACACGGGCTCAGCCACCGGACATCGGCTCAGCAACTGCTGGACACCGTCTCAGCAGCTGCTGGACACCAGCCGGTAGCTGCCGGACACAGCTCAGCAACCGGCTACTGCCTCAGCAACCGGACACAGCTAAGCAGCTGTTAAGCTATTCACAATAGTGGACAGGTTACTGGTTCAGCAGCTCTCGGGTCAAGGTCATGAGCAGGCTCGAATAATGTTGTCCAGCGCCTGAGTCACCGGCTCAGAAGTGCAAGGATCACTGGATCACCAGCTCAGCAGCTGCTGAGTCACGGAGCCACAAGTCCACAATGAGCCTCGAGTCAGCAACGCCGACTGCTAGCTCTCTTTCGTCTCTCCTCCCGCCCGTCCACCCGTTCAATTCCCATATCAGCTCCCTTTTTCTCCCTTCCTAATCTAATCTCCCCACAACACACTCGGCCCACACTGGTTACTGGTCACTGAGCTTGGACAAGATCTCAGCTCGGTAGCAAAAGATCCTTGGAAAGCGGCTGTGCGCGCCACACTCCGTGCTCATTGCTCACCGTATGCTGCGCAGGATATCTCCGGCCGGTTTGATGCGCAGGAACTCGTTGGAAGTGGTGGCCAGGTGATAGTAGCTGGTCTTCTCGTTGGGGAAGTAGGTGTCGGGCACCCACAGGTTTTTCAGGTACTCGGAGCCAATGTTGAGCGTGACCAGGCCGTCCTGCGCCTCGAATGCCAGCCGCGGGTCTTGCCAAAATTGACGGAAAAAGAAGTCGCTTGTGAAGTCCTAAAGCGGAGAACAGTGTCAACAAGGAAGGCAGTACGAGCAAGGCACTGACGACAATTGAAAATTGTTACACAAGGATACAAATTGTAGATTAGTAGTTACAGCTGCATGACACACATTGATTCAAGCAAGTTTGTTAGTTCTTTTAAAAATATGGTTACGTTATAATGTAAGGTAACTTTTGTCAATTTATCGTTCATTTTTTATGCTCGTTTCCAAAAGTACCACAATACACAAACATTTCATTACGATTTAAGTCCAAAGTTCTCTTCAAACAAAGATGTCCTCCAATTAACGAACAAAACAATCATGTTGACGATGTAACGGTATATGAGCATCGCATCGTGCACCGATCCATCACGGTTAAATGCTGACTGATGAAACGGTAAAGCGGCCAGACGGGTAGCCTATTGCGAGCCGAGGACAGCGCCGCACAGTGCGACGCTCATATGCCGGTCTGCTGAATTGCAGCGATGCAGTACAGAATAGCGTTCCGGTCGCTGCGCCCGGCCGAGGGATGGGGCAAAGCTGCAGCTCGGCTGTGGTAACTCTGAGGGGTTCAGGGGCTCGGCCACCCCGCAGGTACAGCTCGAACATTGACGGCAGGAGAAACGGCAGGAGCGTCCAAAAAGAGCTACACACATACAACTGCAGCTCGCCCGGAGGCCCGCGTAGCGGCGGCGGGTCACCAAGCCGCCGTTGGGTCGTCAGAACTGACCGGTTAGGGTAGGGGAGTGGGGTCCACCCCGAGCTGCAGTTTCCCCATCGCTCGGCCGGCGCCGCGCCGACGGGACCGGGGAGGGGGCGGAGGGGAGGGGCGGACCGCGGACTGACACCGTCTGAACTGGCCTCGGGTTGTGGGCGAGGTTTGCCAGAGTCTGCCGCCAGCCGAGTCCCGTGTGGTGGCAGTGGCCATCAGACCCCAACTGCGCGCGCTGCGTGCCGCCCAAATGGCTCGATCTTGCCGCTGATATGCATATCGTGCCACACCGCGAAGCGGAACACATTTCAAAGCAGTCCATACGACATTTGATCGTAACATCACACAAATGATCCAAGGCGCAGTGCGTTAACATTAAAACGTTGATAAGCAACCATATAATCATTACTCGAATGATGCATTACATATCCGAAAAGTTTTTGAAATGAAAATACAATACAACATAAGTATGGCTAAAATGATCGAGACCATGTTTGCTAAGGTGGGCAAGACAAACACTGACTTTATCGAGCCCATTGGCCAAATGGTAGAGGCCGTCATAGACTGTATTGACTTAAAATAGCCGAAATAGAACCGGATCCGGTCCGCTCAGCCGAGTAGCACTAGCATCAGACACAGCAATATTGAAATGCGGCATAAAACGGAATAGTATTGGGTTATCTACGCATCACTAGTCAAAATTGTATATTAAACTTTTACAGCAGAGTTTCGCACCGGAAACTAAGCAAAAAAGACTCGATAAATTTATGCAGCTTGTGAAAAGAGACTAGGCAAGCAGAAAGATACCGGGACCGCCGGGAAGGCGACCCTGCCTGTGACGCTGGGAGGGGAGGGGAGGGGAGGGAGGGGCCGGTCTGTGGTGTGAGGCCCCGCACAGAGGGGGGGGGGGGCGCCAGGGTAGAGGCCCGCTGAGGACAGCCGCCGCCCGCCGGGCGGCTCGGTGGGGAGAGGGCGGAACGCCGCCGGCCCCGCCCCTCTGCCGGCGGAGGGCGGGCCGCACCGCGCACCGCCACGCGCGCACGTGCACCAAGCCAGAGTCGCGCGCGCCACAACCAGACAGAGAGAACAAAGCGCGCAGCGGCCGCCCAGCGCGGCGGCCGCCGGCCGGGCAGACAGACACGCATTTTGTACCATCATCACTTCCGAAACGGACGAGATCGACGTTAGATGCATGGTGATTCCGACTGTTACCGGCACGCCTGAAAGAGTTCACCAGAGGTGCGTGACACGACCAACGGGAGCGGCGCGCTCAGTGCGCCGCCACGGCGATCGGGACGGACAGGGGGGAGGACCGGCCAACCACCCCGGCCGAGGTACCACCCCTGCCGCCGGCTTACCGCAGCACTGTCACCAACTTACTGCGGCAGCACAATACCTGAAGCAGTACCACCGACTCACTGAGGCAGTGGCAGTTGGCACCGACTCACTAAGGCAGTGGCACCGACTTACTGAGGAAGTGCCGCAGGCTTACTGAGGCAGTATTGTCGACTCACTGTGTACCGACAGTGCGAGTGCAGGGGTACCGACTTTCCACTGCAACATCCGGTAGGTATACCTGTTCCTCTTTTTTTCGAGATCCGTTCTGGCAACCTCTTGAAAAGTCCTACCTTTCACTGGTCGCTGGTCGCTATAATGAGTTTGAAAGTTGAATCCCTTGAATGGGGATTATTGGAATGATAATTCAAAGAAAGCAACGAAACGGATCAAGAGGATAGAAGAAGCATAATTGAAAGAATAGAAGTTAATGATGTAAAGATCAATAGGACGCGAGAAAATTAGAAAAATAAAAGGGAGACAGGAGGAAATGAGAAGGGAGAGGAGGAGGAGAGGAGAAAAGGAGAAGAGAAAAGGAGAAGAGAAGAAGAAAAGAAAATAGAAGCGGAGAGAGAGGGAGAGAGGGAGAGAGAGAGAGAGGGATAGAGAAAGAGAGAGGGAGAGAAGGAGAATAGGAGAGGAGTGGAGGAGTGGAGGAGAAGAGAAAAGGAGAAGAGGAGAGGAGAAGAGAACCGAGCAGGGAACTGCGGTGCACCGGACCGTGGCGTCCAGCCTCTGAGGATTTCAGCTGTACTATCAGCTATCCGTCACCTGAATGTGGCGACCCCGCGGGACAGCTGAGGCGGCCGCGCGCCAGCCCCGTGGCGCCAGATGACCTCAAATGGCGCGAGATGGTGGGCGATGGCGGGAGCGGGCCGAAATGGCGGGAGATGGGAGACATTGTCCAAAAATCGGCAGCGGGTGGCGAGAAGGATGAGAAACAGTAAGACATTGCTATAGCGGACAGGAGACGAGAAAAGACAGAAGACGGGGGTGAGCGAGACAAGATGAGAAGAAACGAAAGAAGATGAAATAGGAAACCAGGAGACGGAAAGATAAGCTATTTAGGCCTTACCAAAGCTAGGCGCTTCTGACGCACTCTTCAGCCATGCTTGTCGTGGTTGTAGAATAGGTCTGTTGGGTGTCCCTATCGCTACAGTAGAGCGCTCCTGTAAAGTGGCCCTATACCTATGTCGATGAGTCGATCCTCTGATGCGTACCGCAGCGGCGGGACGACTGCGCCGTGGCGGCTGGCTGGGGCGGACCGGGGTGGTCGGCAGGCCGCTCCCTTACACGGTATATACAGGGCGGACCGGGGGGGGGGGGGGGGGGGACTGGACCGGGGTGTGGCGGCTGTGTGCCCACTCTGTGCCACTCAGCAGCTGTCAGTGGCAGGTGTGTGGGGCAAACAAAACGGCCCGAGAGAGAAATAGAAAACACAACGCTAGGCTACAGTTATGTACCATTCGGACTTCGGACAGAGATGAAATACTGACAAGGTGCATGGTGATCCCCACTTCGACGGCGGCGCCTGCAATATATATCAGACGCGTCAGCACACTCCACGGGGTACACCAACACTGGAGGCTGACTCGAAGGGGGTGGGCAGTAGGTAGTGGACAGGCAGAAATAAACGCATACAGACGCGGACCGACACAACGATAGATAGAGGACAGACAGACACGGTTGGAATTAGACAGACGGACCGATGGACAAAAAGGCATACCAACCGACATACATACATAGGTACAGACACAGATGCACAGACCAACAAACCGAGAGATCGACACTTCAGACCAATGGACACACTAAATGGATACGCTGCTGGTCACTGATCAGTGAGTCACTCATATACGAGTAAGCGTGATGCCTTCTGCTGTAAACAGTATCACGAATGAACATGATACTTCTGATGGTGATGCTTTTCTTCAGGTTATTTCTATTTCATCGCAGCATTGATTGATAGAGTGCGAAGTTTTAGCTCATGTAAGTTTTTTTTTTAAATAAACATCAGCACACATTCCTTTCAAAACTTTCTTTACAGAAGTCATTTTAAATAAATTCACCTCGGAATTTGTAGTGGATCGGTCTTTGGGGGCTTGAAAGTAGACAACTTGGTTTTAGGCTGGTTGACCCTGAAGAACTACAATATTCAGCATTTCTAGAGTTCACGACTCTGATCAACGACAAAAATACTAAAAGGTGAATAGTTCCTCGTCTCCAGAAACGCTTAAAATTTTCCATAGTACAAATAAAGCATACAGTTAAAAGATATGATATTCAAGACACGTCATCCGTCCGTCGATGTTGAGGGCTGAAGCCGTCTGCACACAACTGGCTATGGATATCACTGTTGAATAGGTAAGATATGCATCAGATGGTTCCTTCAAGAACGACTGGTATTTTATAAGAAGTTAGCAGTGCTTCTACAAAATTAAATGAAAATACAGATAACTTAACATTGCCTTAGGAGTCAGAGTCACACGCCTCACAGAGTCACAATCCTGTCTAAATGCAGACGGTAACATCGATGTCATCTTCCAATAGGAAACAGGCCACCCATCACCCAATTTCTCATCCGCGAAAATCACCGAGGAGCTATGTAAGTCACGTGACTAGCGCTGATCAGAATGCTGTCAGAGCTTCCTCGAAACAGCCTCTAATGGCTTTCCGTAATGAAGACGGCTCGCTGCAAATTTGGCCGGTCGGTTCGGACGGTCGACCGGCCGGCCGGCTGGATGTTGTTATTTTGTGGACGCCGGCCGCCGCTCGGTCAGGCCTTCCGCGCCGCCCTGGTGGCTCCCGAGGGAGAGGGTAAGGTGCGGCCCTTCACCTTTGACAAAGTGGATCGGGCGGGCCGGACGCGTCGCTTATGGCGCGTGCCCGATGGTTTATTGGCGCCCGGGGCGGTGGGCCGTCGAGGGTCGGCCCGACGCCGACCGAGCTGACTGTCGAGGTCGATCCAGGATCTCGACAGGCGTGCGGCGGAGCGACAGACCAAAATGGCGAGTGGGCCGCAGAAGGAGCAGTTCCACGTCCGTCCTAGCACTGAGTCTTACTGTAGAAACGAGCCAGATATCGCTCAGCATTCGGCCAGTTATAAGACGATGTGTGAGGATCGATCACAGGACAGTAGTGATAACGGTACGGCATCTAGTCGTTCGAACTCTATCGAACTTTCTATTTCGACCAGCCGAGTCGGACCAAGAGACTGTTGTTTCAGCCTATTAGGGTCTGGGACTTTACCTCACACCATGGTCGCTGTGTAACTGCACTCCGGTGGGTTGACAGTGTGAGGCTAGACGATAATTCACCGAATCGACAGCAGGAGCTATCCACAGGCGGCAATAAATAAACCTCAAGTCAGTTGACAGCCCTCGGCAGCCCAAGGCAGGTCTGTCGCTTGCGAAAGACCGAACACTATCTCCGTCTAGACCTCAGAAATGCAGCGATCAATGTCTCAGGCGATGGTCCGGCCACAGTGGGCTGGGGTGGAGCGTGTTCCAATTGGGACTGGCCCGTCTGGCCCAGAAACCATCATCCAATGTGACAGATGTGTCAGGAAGGTGACAGACATGTCGGGAAGTAGATCTCGCTGGCGGGGAGAAGGAGACGGCACATAAATTGAGACCGGATGTGAGTTGGCAGGACTGGTAGAGTGGATCTGCTCTGCGCTCTGGCAGGGTCGAACATCAGCCCGAAAACTGACCGAAAGACATGGAGCTGAGCTGTCAGATATGGAGCTGAGCAAGATCCGATTGTCAGGAACGATTCATCAAAATCAGGGCTTGACTCGAGCCAGATACAGAACTGGTATACAGATCGTCAGATACGGGATAGATCATAGAACATGACGAGACACACAAACCGAGTGTCGACCAACTGTCAGATAAAGACTAACGAATTTGGACTGCCAGTTGTGGAGATCGGAGTTGGGCTGTTATCATGCAGTCAAAGGCCACAAGTCACAAAGCTGGCACATGACTTTGAAATGATGAAAGGGATATGATATGCACCTCAGCCAGCATATGTAGAGAAACCGCGAACCTAATTTACTGGGAAGTGTGGGACTGACTCGAAAAAACAAGTTGGCTCGCAAGCAGATCCAATCGAACAGCCAGACAGTTAAGATATAAGGGGCGGTGAAATCCATACGTGTGTCGTACGGTACAACAAACGTGTGAGTGCGGCAGTGACTGCTGCTGGCTGACTTTGAACGGTTGGACCGGATGAGGTCGCAAACCGCGTTTAATATCGCGGTTCTAGCTGAAACGATATCTTGTGCCGAATGGCCAGTATAATGCCAGCTTTATCGCGAGCCTGGGTCGGGGTTTTAACGCTGGTCGTGAAACACCCCGCATTTCCTTGAAAGCCAGCACAGCGCACCGCCGCGTTTCCACACTAGCTTCATTTTAAGCGAGTAACTGGCGTTGATGTGACCTATGGCGTGCTCTGCGGTGCCCCGTATGAGCCGCCAGGGAGCGCCATTTCTAGAACAGCGCGTTCCCTTCCTGTTCGAGTTCAGAGTGCCCGCGGCAGGCGAAGGTCGAGGCGGCCACCATCAAGGTGCGTGCCGACTGCCGCACCAGCAACCAATCACAGCGGAATTAAAAGAAATCGAACTCGATACCCCTGTCACTTGCAAGCCGTGCACGTGAGGACCAGTGGCGAAACAAAGACACGAGAGAGGAGGAGGGTGATAGAGGGAAGAGAGAGAGAGAGAGAGAGAGAGAGAGAGAGAGAGAGAGAGAGAGAGAGAGAGAGAGAGAGAGAGAGAGAGAGAGAGAGAGAGAGAGAGAGAGAGAGAGAGAGAATGCGGTCAGGCGCATATACCCTACAGTAACCGTTTTCACGACGGGCTATCCGGCGAATGCACCTGATTTGACCAAATCTGCACCTAATTTCTTTTACAGCAAATATCTCATTTTATGAATTTATTTCAGTGTTTTAATCGATGATGCTCTCTGATAATATGACAAAGCAGGCATATAAGCAATTAGTGCAACCCTAGCTGATAGCTGCTAAAGAGACACACTGAACCTGATTTGACCAAATCTGCACCTGATCTGCACCAGATGCGCACCAAACGTGTACCAGATGGCCGTCGTGAAAACGGCTAGTTTCCAATAGGTCACCAGTCACAATCTGAGGCCACCCATCAGGTCAACCACGTAGAAGAAGGGATTGGTCCCTCCATCTTTACCCCTGACGATCCTCATCAGCCAAACCGCGGCACCACGTGACGGTCGTTGCCATGTCGCTGTCTCGCCGGTGGCGGCGGAGCCGGCAGCCCCCGGCTGGACTCGGTCTGGCCCAGTGCCCGTCGGACCCACGCGTGTGGTCATCACTTCACGGACGCGCGAGCGGTGCCAACATATGAGCCATGGGGCGACTCTCGAGCGACTGGGAGCTGTGGGGCTGCAGGAGCTGGCTGCCCACAGAAGGAAGGATCAAGGATGCACCGCCGGGACATCACGACAACACCGTTCACAGAAGGACTGACAAGCTGCTGTAGCCTGGTGATACACGCAAAACGATCCACTACTCAGAAACACCCCGAATATCTTAGTAGAGCATCACGCCTCCTCAGTATGTCAGCCTTTATCTGGCGGGGCATCGTACTCAGAAATTTATCTCTTCAGAAATCAATACTACATCGTCTTTATCGTCCTCGATATCAGCCTGTCCTGCATCATCCATCAGTGCCGTCGGACTCAGCTCGACAGTGGGTCAGCGGACCTAAAATTTCCACATTAGCCCCAGACTGCTACGTTCAGAGCTGACGGAGGTGGTTTAAGGCTGGTCTGTCCGGTTCAGTCCAGTTTGGTCCGGCCTGTTCGGTCCAGTTCGAGTACAGTCTGTTCAGGTACTGTCTGGTGTCTGTAGGTGTCCCGTGTCTGGTCGGGTCTGTATAACTCGGTCCGGGTCCTGTCGGCGCGACAGTCGGCTCCGCGCGGGGCTCGGCCGGCGCCAGGTCCGCTCCGGTGGCTGATGGACGGCCGACATGCACGCCGGCCGGTCCCTGCAGCGGCGCCTCACATCGATTGTCGACCGGTCACCCCTACCCTACCCGGCCCCTCCTACCACCCTTCCCTGCCGGCCGGGCGCCTTGACCCGCAATTTACAGCCGTTGGAGCCGAATGCTAAGGTCTTATTAGCTGTGCTCATCACCGGCGGCCGCGGCCAGCAGATCGATGGCAAAAGAGACGCGGGGAGACTGGCCAATGACACAGCTCATTCACAGAGCCGAGCATGTGCCGCCACCGATTTGGCTGATGGCTCGGAAAGACATCGCTGAGTAATGTTGCTGACCAAAATGGCCACCAACATCGCCGAGGGCACCTGGTAATTGAAATGATGACAGTATGACAACACTGAGCGGTGCAGTAATTGAAATAATGAAATAACGGGACGTGGCACTAATGAGTGGTGAGTGGCAGTGCTGACGAACATTATTGTTCGGCAGGGCACTGGCTAATGACATTGCTGATTAAGCTAGGGACTCGACATTGTAGTATTACAGTACTACACAGAGATCGCTGTCTATGGGCTGTAAGTTGCATCACAGGACACAGTGGAGGGACTCGATTGAGGGAGCCGATACAAATAATAAAAGATAACACTGGATTGGATGACGGTGTTTAAGCTGACAGCCAAGAGAAAATAGGAATGCCGACACAAGTCACAAGCATTGGCGAAACTACCAACTAATACATTGTCGAAACTCGAAACATTATTCAATCCTCATGTGGAGCAGCGAAGACACCCTGAATATGAGAGGTAAGACGGACTGAGGTTGGAGCCACATCTGTTCTCTGAAGACTAACGCCCTCAGCTCGGATCGAACCAGGGAGCTGTTGGCGAGGCCGGCGAGCTCGGCACTCAACAGGGCTGCTCATGGGACGTGCACCCATCCACTATAAACAACTCCAACGAGGCCTCGCAGGCCCATCATTCAATCGGAATGGCACGACCACGTCCTCAGTGGACGCCGATAAAGAAGCCCTGGCCCGCTCCGAGCCTCTGCTTTCTGAAACGCCCCCGCAGCGCCACGCCAGAATATTAAATTACGGAATTGTACGGCGACACGGGACAGCTGGTCAACAGGGCATCTGATAAACGAGCCTCGTGCCACGGAGCGAGGAGGAACAAGGAACAGGGAAAAGACGGCTGTCACGAGTGAGCATTAGAGAAAATACCGGCATACTGTGGCGTCAAACTACCACTTAGTGCAGGACAGCGAACGCCACACTCATTTATTACGTGTGAGGATGGGACAAAAATAACTGACAAAGCTAGTGAAACATCGTCGTCTTGAGCGAAGGCCGGAGGTGTTTGTATTTGTTCACCAGCGGACGAATCAACCAAACAGGGGCGTATTTACGGGCGAGCACATTCGGAGAGGCTGTCGCCGTGTCGCCGACACCGCCTGGCCCAGATACAATGTCACTCAAGTGGCGACCATTGTACGGAGCTCGTCATGTGTAACGGCAGAGATGATGAACAATGGTCACGGGAAATGAATGATGAGGAACAGAGGAGAACGCGAGTGAGAGAAGGAGGGAGACGAAGGAGAGGCAGGGAGGGAGTGAGAGAGAAGGCGGGCGAGGGAGAGAAGACAGAAAAAGAGCGAGAGGAAAGTAAAAAGATAGAGATAAAGAGAGGAGACAGATATTTATTATGAAGAAAGAAACAGGAGAAAGAGGGATGGTTGGAGGGAGGAAGAAAAAGAGAGGAAGAGAAAGGAGCAGAGCGAGAGAGCCGCTGCGGCGGATATATAATTATTGCCGACTGGAAACACCCGGAAGGTCAGCCCTGTGGTCGCTGCCAGACACGTGACTGCCAATCATGGCATTGGTCTGCCGACGAGCTGTCGGCCGGCCGACCGGAGACGGGGGGGGGGGGCGGGGGACAGAGCAGGGTCACTCTGTCATCCACGGATGCGGCTCAGCTGTCTCTGGGTGGCGCCGATGGCAGCTGGCCGACACCGGGCAGGCCATCGGTCAGCCGGCCGACACAGGGGCGCACAGATTCGGACGCAGTCAGTGGGTACAGCAGCGATTCGGCCATAGTCAGTAGTCAGTAGTTACAGCACAGATTCGGCCGCAGCCAGTAGCTAGGCACAGATTCGGCCACAGTCAGTGGGCACAGCAGAGATTCGGTCAGTGGTTAAAGTACAGATTTACTCACAGGTACAGCCCTCAGCAGACTGCGTAGTAGGTATTCTTTTTTCGACAAAACCGGTAATAACTCAAAGATTATGTTATCAGTCGGTCGGAACTCACTGCAAGTAGAGGCGCCATGCTCCACTCCTTCGATTGGGTCTATCACTAAACAAAGTAAATGCCTTGTGTGGCAACAAAATGCAAAAGTTTGTTTTTGGGGCAAATATAAACTTTTGGGTTTTGTTGCCAAACTGGATGGAAAATGAGGACGATGGTAATGCCAATCCAAGGTGCGAAGTCTCCCGCGTCTTGCTGTTACGATTTCCAAGTGACCGATAGCATAGTATCCGCGTTATTCTCGGTTTTGGCGAAAAAAGAATACCTACCACGCAGTTTGCAGAGGGCTGTACAGGTCACTGTACATATTCAGCCACAGTCAGTAGTCGCAGTACACTCACAGTCAAGCCAATGATGCCATGCATCGACAGTCACTAGTCAAATCACAAATTCACCCACAACCACCACCAAAATTGAGCCCACAGCATATATTCACCAAGAGCCAATGAATAACTCCAGAGATTCACCTACAGCTAGTCGAATGAAAAAATGCAGTCAAGACACATTTTCGCTCATTCAGTGGCCACAGACAGGGGAAAAAGATTCAACCACATCACTATTCATAACCCAGGTTCACCTACACCAGCTGGGTCATTAGTAATGACCACACAGGTTCACCGACAGTCAGGGGCACTGATATGGCGGCATACATCGCGTGCCAGGTAGCCACCGGACATGCCTGTCACTGGACAATCGCCCCGCCAGCGAACATGTTTGTTACTGGAAATAACAAGTCAGTCATCGGATATGTCTGTCTATACAGTCACCAGTAGTACAGTCTGTTAATGGACTTTGGGCAATGGATAGGTCTGTCAAGTGGAGAGTTGAAAGACGTGTCTGTTAGTAGAGAGTCACACATGTTTGTCTGTGAGAAGTTGTCGCTTAGGTCTGTCTGTTTCAGTAACATGACAAACGTGGCTCAGCCTTCAATTATATGTTTTCAGAAGGGCTTGAGCTAGCCTTTTCTCTACCATCACATGTCGCTCTACTACCCCCCCCCCCTCCTCCCTAAAAAGATGTCGAGCCCAGGCCTTCTGATTCAGAAGATGGCGGACTCAACCATTTTCTTACTCCTAGTTGAAATTCAAAGGTTGGTTCAGGGATCAAACAAACCAAAATGCGCAATGAAAATGGACTACGGCAAGACAGCAGTCTCCACGATGTTGCTTCTCGCATGACTTCAAATCCCAAAACGGCAAAATGAGGCAAAAGCTTAAAAAATACTTGATAATAAGTTAACCATAATTCAAAAACGATGAACATCAAATGCTTCCCCGATCAGCCTATCAATAATGCGGCAATGACAATAACTTATTGCTTTTTAAGCTCACGTCTCCTAAACTCTAAAATTATCTTTTTTTTTAAATCATAGAGCATAGCCCAGATACAAGTGTGCTCACGTACCTCCATAGTTGGGCCTCAGTCTTTTGTCGTATCCGCGTTGAAGGTGGTCTAAGATGGCTGACAGATTCCCGCCGCTCTTTTGTCTGGAAACGGATAAAAACTATGTTAGTGAATAAGTTAAGGGCCTAGTCCTGTTCTCGCGTATAGATTAATACAGTTATTCAATCTGTCGATGATCGACCGGCTCCCATAACTAATCAACGATAACGAATCACAGTTTTCATTCGACTGGGCTGCGTGTCTGCGGGCGGTAAATGGGGTGGCTGTCGTCCCCTCCCCCCCCCCCCCCGTGCGGCGCTGACCACCCACGTCCAATACCGTCGACCAAGGCACGGCCGGGGCACGGGGCACGGCCGGGGCACGGGGCACGGCCGGCGGCGCCGCCTCAATTCTGCATCGGCCGCCGCCTCGGCGTGCTAGTTTATGTGGGTCGTGCCATCCCCACCAATAGAGAACGGCGGCGCGGCGCGGCGCGGGTCCGGCCCGGTCCGTCCGCTCCCCTGGGGCAGGCGCGTGTCGGAAAAAAGAGCCTCCGGCCGCCTCCGGGCGCCGCGCCGGTCCGGAGCGTCCGACTGAGCGGACGTCCGGAGTCCGGCGGCGGACACCGGGGGGCGAGCGGTCAGCTCAGAATAAAACATACGGTAAATATAGAGACAGCAGACCATACCCCCACTGACTGGAAATGCCAGAATAGAAAAGGACGGTCGCCCAAAGAAAATGATACTAGAATATCGTATGGTATATCGCGACAGAACACAATAAACAGCGTATAGTTGTCCACGAAAACAAAATAGGAGCAATATCTCTGAGACAGAACCAATCACCGTAAATGCACTAGGTAGTGTGGACCGAAGTCCGACGGCGTCAGTTCAGCGCGGCCCTACGTAAACACGCGGCCCCGGCGCTCGGCAGCCCTGCCACCGGCCCCGCGGCAGCATCAACTAAGCAATCAATGGAATATGCATTAGGATGGCGGTCAATCTCAGCCTGCGACTGGTTGTTGAATATTTGATCCGAGCTACTGATCGCTGGCGCCAAAAGTCCGCTGACACAGCGGTGCATCCCGCCATATCGCGGGCGGGTTCTACCACTGCGGGCCAGTGTCAGTGTGTCAGTATCAGTGGTATCAGTGTCAGTATCTGTCCCCAACCCCTAGTGACAAGCGGTGCATCCCGCCATATCGCGGGCGGGTTCTACCACTGCGGGCCAGTGTCAGTGTCAGTGTGTGTCACCACACTGACATAACAGTGCATCCCGCCATATCGCGGGCGGGTTCTACCACTGCGGGCCAGTGTCAGTGTCAGTGTCAGTGTGTGTCACCGCTGACACAACAGTGCATTCCACCATATCGCGGGCGGGTTCTACCAGCGAGGGTCAGTTATTGTATTGTTGTTATGTGTCATGTTCATCTGTCCACCGACAGAGACACACACACTACACAGGGAATACTTCATCCATGACACAGTGCTCCGCACATCACCATACACCTAACTAGTGGGCATGAGGGTCACGTCAGTTATGGCATATCAGTGTGTCCCAATTAACAGAGTAGAGACCGCTAGTGAAGGGTCCTTTCTATGTGGTGGATCAAAAATATGTTTTACCTTTGTCTGGTTGAAGGCTAAGGTTAGACTAGCCTGACGATGGTGCTGAGGGATGCAGGAGTAATTCGGATTCTTAATTTCATCCTCCCTCTTTTTTCTCCCTCTCTTATCTCTAACTATCTTGTCTCTGTCTCCGTCCCTGCATCTTTGTCTCTCCTCCCTCTTCTCTTTCTCTCTCTCTCTCTCTCTCTCTCTCTCTCTCTCTCTCTCTCTCTCTCTCTCTCTCTCTCTCTCTCTCTCTCCACCCCATCCCGGAATCGCGGCCGGCAGTGCGGAGTCGCCTTAACAGCATAACTTGGCCGACTGGGATCTCCCGGTAGCCATGAGATAGGAGCGTCGCACCGAACTTGGTGCGTCGCCGCCCGGTCCGGAGGCACTGTCGGCACCGACGACATACTGCCGCTGTCGACGGACGCTCACGTCTGCGACGCCAGGCTCCGAGTTGCCCCATTACGCGGCCACTGAGCGCCTCGGGTCCGGCCGGCCAATCACTCAGCGGCCGGCTGGCAGCACTCCGTGTCCACCGGCACTCCGTGTCCACCGGCACTCCGTGTCTGCACCGGCCATATTTAATTACCGACTAAAACAATGGCATTGAGGTGATTGTTTGGTTGGCAATGATGGCACGTTTTCGGACTGTGCCATGCTCTTTCATGCTGTCATCACTATCGCTTATTCTTTGTCCGTAAATGTATGATCGATCTGCGAATAATGATTGCAGCACATAACATTAATTAAACGTACATGTAATGATGAGGGCCGAATAATACAAGCATGTTTACTGAGGAGCTAAGTGAATAAAGATGATAAAATAAATGTTCAGCTTTCATAGACGGACGGCTAAGTTAGGTGTTTTGAGTAGCAAGAAGGTCTCCCGGTCTTGCGCAGCTTATTCCGCTACCAGGTCACTAGGCTCCTGTCAGCTCGAGATGTGAAGCTGATCTAGAGCTCGTTACTCTCGGCCAATCTTAGCTAATTTTCTAGGTCAAACAAACACCCTGCTTAGATTAACGCCAGTATTCTCGATACATGAAGCATATCCATGTTATACGACAGGATTTGATGAAGTATTTTCCTATAAAACCGCACTGAGCGCTACCAATCACCTAACAAAACCAGCAGAGCCGAAGGGCCGGAATCAACAAAGTTTGTCCGCTTTGGCTGCAGGCTTGATTACACATAGTTTTATGGTGGTTTCTGGCCAAAAACCCGCTGACTCGCCTGTCCAAGGAGCCAGCAGTGGATGAGTTGGTGTCTTGGCAACGGAGCACCTGATCTACTGGCATACAAAGGCACAGATCACGGACCCTTGTGACCGATATTCTGAGCTGACCGACCTTCGGATGATCAGTCCGGCGCTCAGTTTTATCCTCGGGAAGATGCTGACCTTTGTTCAAAAGGTCCGGGTTGCAGCATGTACAGATATTTTGCCGTTGACATATTAGGAACGCCGACCAGGACCAAGGCTGTTATGCAATGGGTCACCGCAACAGACTATTTGTTGTTTACACCTACCTAGGCAGGTGCAACAGACTATCTGTTGTTTACACCTACCTAGGCAGGCTACCTAGGCAGGCTGTTTGATCATCGCAAGAAGTGCGTTGCTACCTGTCCCCGCCCAGCGACGCTAATCCGGATTCGCCGATCCGGATTCGCCGATCCGATCCTGTCCGTAGTGTCATGGAAACGAGGCTATAGTGTCGTGAGGGGATGCGGCATGGTAGGTGCCGTGACTGGGGAGGGGCAGTCTGTGGATATGATAGGTCAGTGCCGTGCAGATGGCAATATGGGATGGGTACTGACTACTGGTTCCATGGCGGAGGAGGAGAACTGGTGCCGTGACGGGCACGGGACAGTGGAGGCACCGTGTCGTGACGGGGCAGCGAGCAGTGCCGTGACAGAGCACAGCATGCCGTCACCGAGCAGTGCAGTGCCCTGACTGAGCAGTGTGAGCAGTGCAGTGACATGACTGAGAAGTAAGCAGTGCGGTGATTGAGCAGTGCAGTCCCGTGTCTGGGCAGTGCAGTGTGCAGTGCAGCGAGCAGCGAGCAGTGCCGTGTCTGGGCAGCCAGTGCCGTGACTGAGCACTACAGCGAACAGTGCCGTGACTGCCGTTAGAAGACGACAATCACCGCCGGCAGCCGGCAGTTAAGGCACATTCGGACCACTTCAATGGCGCCCGCGAGTGGCCAGCAGATGGGCGCATCGATTCTCTACAAGTTCTATGATACAAAATTAGAAAGTACATTCGTAGCATCGTGTTATTATCGCTATGGACGACAGGGTGAGCGCTGTCGCAGTGTCTGGGCAAACAGAAAAGTTTGCACGGCACGGGCTACATCAAGGCTGAGCATGTGTGCCTATCTAAAATTATCCTGAACGATTTCATGGACGAGCTTCACATAAAAGTTATAGGCATTGGCATATCCTTGTCATGTCAACTCTTTTAGGCACCCATAGAAAGCATCATATTCTAAAAATATGAGGGCCGGTTTACTAAACATACAATAACTTACAATAATTGTATTTGTTTATTCACAAGCCATCATTCGTGTCATTGGTAAAAAGTCGTGCCAAGTATTGATCCACCGACCCGACAGCGATCCACCACACAGCGCATGACAGACCTACTGTCGCCTGTCCACACGGAACTTTCCCACATCCATCCACACGGCACGATCTAATATCCATTCACACAGGATCTTCCTGTATCTTCCGTTCCTCCCGCAAGGTATCGAGTCCACCGTGCAACCGCAGCTGTCCACCGTCCATCCACACGACTGTCCACACGGTAACATGCGCCCACCATCAGTTCACCCGGTAAGTAGCATGCGTCCACCGGCCCTCCACCGCCCATCCACCGATAAGCTGCACGCGTCCCCGCCCCTCCCCCGTCCTTCGGCAGGGCGGCGCCACCTAGCTGCCACCCGACCTCTTTCACGGCATGCGAACTACAAGCAGCGGTGAATGGGACAGCCACGAACCGTGGCCCGTGGCCGCCAACTGGTGACGGAAATTGGCAACACTGACCCACCAGAGCCGCCGACACCGTGGCATAATGAACACTAGCTGCCCACGCACCACAGTATACAGTCAATGGGGACAGCATGGCGCCGCCGTGGTGACCCAATAACTGGCCCCACCGCAGTGGTCCGCCACGGCGGCATAAACACATAAAACAGACGACTTTTACGACAGGCCAACCAATGTCATATACATACACACATCGCGACTTGAACGAGAAATAAACGATATCAAATACCATTGAAAAATTGAGAATCAATACCCAAACCTGAGCCTGAAAGGCATTAGCTGAGTGACCCCACCACTCACCAGGAACCAGGATAGAGCAGTGACGTATGGAACATCGCAAGCACTTTACTGAAGTAGGTATGTAACGGTGAGTATCGCGTAATTAGTTCGCCAACACCACACACGTTGAGCCACAATGTTTTTGTATATGGCTATCCTTAACCCCG